AAAGAAAAAGAAAAAGAAAAAGAAAAAGAAAAAGAAAAAGAAAAAGAAAAAGAAAAAGAAAAAGAAATTCGCCGGTTTACAAAACGGTACAAGCAACCTTGCATATCATCACATCGTATACAGCGAGTACAGAGATATTGACGCTAGCCTCCGATCGTTAACGTACGCAATCCTACGGAATACATACCATCATCCCACGGTGATATACTATAGACAAAGCAGCCGTAGCGCGGCTATTTCAGCTGATAGTACTCATCCCGGAGAAACCAATGAAAATCCCGAACGCGACTTGTAAAGTCCTCAAGGCCATACGCATCCACGCCTCACCAATCCTCGTCCTCCGGCTCCTCCTCGCCCCCCTGCCCCCCCTCCTCAACCCACCCGGGCACGGTAACCAGCACCCCGAACTCCCTCAACTCAGGACAGTAGCTCCTCGCCTTCTCGCACACGGCCCTGATATCCCGCCGCATGTAGTTGAAGTGGTCCTCGTTGCCCCTCTCCACCTCCGTCGCGGACGGGCCCGGCATCGCGTCCTTGAAGGTGAAGCGCAGATGCGGCGGGCCGTGAGGGAGGCAGTGGCGCGACTCGGCGGCGAACCAGGCGAAGAAGTCGGCGGTGGTGAGGTGCGGGCGCTGCAGCACGGATCGGGGGAAGGGCGCGCTGAACTTGCCCGAGGCGGAGACCTGGATGCGGATTATGATGTCGAGCTGCTGAGGCCTCGGGGCCGCGGTGCAGCTGGAGGGGTACAGCTGGCGGGAGGGTGGGCCTGGGCCGCGTCGGCCTGGCTGCGAGAGGGTTGTTGACCCGGGAGAGACGTCGTCGTCGCGGTTACGTGCTTCTGGTTCTGGTTGGGGCGGTGGCTTCTTCCAGGTTGCGGCTGCTGGCGCCGGGGGCTGCAGTCCGGGTCTGCGATGGCGATAGTAGTGCACTACTGCCCCGCCACGAAGCGTACAGGTCTGTTTGGGATGGATGCTGATCTCTCTATAGCGGTCGCCGGCCTCGTCAGGGTTGGTGGCGATGTTCGTGGTGGTGTAGCCTTTGCCTGTCAGGGTGACCATGCCTCTGCCGCTCCTCCTGTCGATAATGGCGCCGCATACTTCTGACCCAGTCTTATACGGCAGCTCGTCGAGGGCTGTCGATTCGTGGTCGAGCACTTCAAACTCGTACCGGTGTGCGATCTAATGAGATCAGCAAAACTTCGCAAAGGGGCGACGAGACAGCTGAGACTTACGCTTCGGGCGAAGTCACCGAGTGTGATTGCTTCCGGAAGACTTCGCCTAGTCGCAACTGGACTGAATGGCCTCTGAGGCTCGGAGGATCGCTTGTCACTGCCAGAGACCATTCTATTGTGTTGCTGAAAGTCATTTGGGCTGAATTCAGAAGAAAATGATTGACTCTTGAGCGACGAAAGTCCTCGAGAGACGTTGATGGGCGATGACCGGCTGGACTCCCAGACGGGATACTTCGGCTCGCTCATGCCGGTCCTGTTCGGCAAGGGTCCAGAAGAAGAAGAATGCGATGCTTGGTGAGGAAACGCCTGAGGGGATCGTCTAGATGGAGCGTGCGAATCGGGTACGAGCATGATGTTTTGCAGGTTCATGGAAGTGGCCGTGTTCACCGGAACTTCCACCTTATTCGAATTCGTAGCTTTCCATCCACGCGTGGAGGGACTACCAGGAGCAGTACCAGTCACAGCACGTGACTGGAACTGCGAAATAGACACCCTGAACATGCCTGGCCCCTTGTTCATGTTTGACGCGACCCAGTAGAGATCCCAGATGTATTGCTTGAGTGTCCGGAAGTAGTGTAGGCTGCCTTCGGGGACGACGAACGACTTTTCGGGTTGCCAGTGAACATCAATCAGTTCGAATCTTAAATCTCCGGTTTCTGCAACACCAGTGTTCTCCATATACCACTTGGAAAAGCCTGGCCAGTTTTGCCACATGATGACACCGATGGGTTCGACACGAATCGGGTAAGAATTAGATAAGACGACTCGGCTATTCTGTGTGAACGTTTCCACGAAAGCTTGGGCATCGGCAGTCGTGAGGAGACTCTCAGCTCGATTGTCGAGGGTGAAGATGACAGCTGGTGGGCGATATTGCTCGGGAGGCTGACTAGACGCTGCCAGTGGCGGTGATGCAGACGGCCTTGGGGGTTGAGGCTGATGACTCTGGTCGTAGCCATGTGGAATGGTAGGCGAGCCACCTCGCGGGCTCCCCGTCAGGATGGCACTTGAACCCCATCCGCGGTTTTCTGTATGTACATTTGTTGACGGCACCATTTGCGACTGCGACAAAATGGTAGACGCCACTATATCCCTCTGAGACTTTCCACCCTCGTCATTAGCTGGTTTTCGTCCTCGCCGCTTTGCAGGTTGGCTCCGCTGCTGATCGAGAGAGTCGGTATTCATACCTGAAAATGCAGATGGAAAAGTGTTGAGAGGCCCAGATTCTCTCATCGCCTTACTCAGAACAACGTTGGTTGGAGGGCAGCTATGAATAATGCCTGGGGAACACGCAGGGTTGGCTGCTGGACTATGAAATTGAGAAGCCGTGACCGGTAGCGATTGCGGCATTGGTATTCTTCCATCGACCTCCAGGGCTGGGCTCTGGCCCTGCGAATTACGTTCATCTCGAATCTCGCTAGCTGGTTCCCATGAGGCTCTGGCAGAACCATGCCGTGGAGACTCGTTAGTCCTGGATGCTAGATAGTCCACCACATTTCCAGGTACTTGATTCGTCTCGTCTTCGCTCCCTCCAGAATCGACATTATTCGAGGAGAATGCTTCAGCTGGCTGCATCGTTGATATAAGCATATCGCGTTCGATCTCATGTGGCGGACTTTTGTCTCTTTGGGATGGCAAAGGTGTACGCTGTTTCCTCTCAGTTGGCTGGGTCATCGACGAAAAATGTGGCTGAGCTCTATTTTGGTTTGAGTGACGAGAGACGGAGCGCTTGTCGATTTGGGTATCAGAGGTGGGGGTCTTGACATCTATCCCGTTGTCTTTGGGGGGTATCTCTGGGGTAGGTGCGTATGATACCGAAGTGCTGGCGCTCGCTGGATGGCCTTGTTGGTCACCAATCGAAGAGGGTTTGTGGCCCGAGGTTGATGAGTGAGAGCTGATCTTATAATCCGCTTCTGATGTAAGGGCCGGCGACTGCTTAATCTCGACGTCTCTAGTCGAATGTTGAAGTTTCTTCCAGACCTCCATGGCTTTCTGTGCAACCTCCACCGATGCTTTAGATGCTGGGTCGATGGGTAACGTGGAATTTTCCGAGACCAATGGTGGTAGATGATCGAACTCTTCTCTTTTCGTCTCGGTCCCAATGGAGACTCGATTCCGACGGCTTCTGGATGGAACTATAATAAATTGTTCAGCATCATCCGGTGTGGGACGTGAAGAGTTACGCCGAACACGCTTAGCATTGGCAGTCAGTGTGGAGTTATTATCATCTGCGTTTCTCTGACCTCTCGTCAGCGAAAATGGACTCCAAGATAGATGTGATTTCTGTAGGAACCTTTCCAGAACAGCTGTCTTCGGATAGCCCTCGACTTGTGGAGGCGGAGCTAGACCTTGAAATTTCCATAGAGTCTCATATGCCGGCATCGAGGGAGTTCGTTCTGCTCACACTTCGAGACCCTTCAACTTGTTATATGAGAAAATATTCTGTTCATCGTCGCTTTTCTCCAAAGCGGTCGGGGTTGAGAATATGACACGCTCCTATGTCTAGGTCTTACGTGAACACTTGACCAAAGATTGGCAACTGTCAACCACAATGTTTCGAGCTTCAGATACTCTGGCTTTCCCAAGCTAACAAATGACCAACAGGCTTCCAGAAACTATGTTTATTCGGATCAAGTACTCCGTACAGACTGGTCGTGTGCATGTAGCGGTATGGCCGTCGCTTAACTGCTGGTGGCCACTTTTGAATCCTGTGCTCATCTCAGCCTAGTGTTACTTGGATACGTAGCCCTTCAGACCATACTTGGTACCGTGCAAGCAACTTTCGTTCAAGTAAGTTTCGTTCAGTGACTTCAATGCTTGCGAACCACCTGGAAGTAAACATAGAAGGGATAGGTGATCTCGATAGGCGACTCTCGAGCCCGGTTTCAAAGGTAAGCGAGAAATTTTCGCCAATGAATTTCACCATTCAGAGCCATACACCCGTCACGGAGTGTCTGATAAGACAGAAAGTCGAGCGAGAGTAATTCTGACACGGCAGTCTTGAGCATGTTCGCTAAAAGATGTTATCGCATCAACGATGACTGCTGCTGGCAGCCGCAAGTCTGCACTAGCAGAAGTACCCGGCTGGTGGCGCAAGTCCATCGCTGTACAACTGAAGAATCCGATTGTAACCCGAACCGCTGGATAAGAAGGACACGGAGATGGTCTGCTGGAGACAAGGCATACTTTGGCGTTTGAGGCGGGGACACCAATCTCGCGGGTCCTACGCCTACCTTGGTCATCCATTCGAAGATGTTGGAGCAATACCGATACGTGTATCCATAGAATCGAGCCAATTAACATATAGCTTTCGGTCTTCAGTCGACCTCGGTGTCGCGATCGCCCGAACACGATATGCGGTCAGAGCAAGCGACCAGCCTGCGAGACTAGTTAATCATAGTTAACATGGGCTTTTTGAATAACTCAACCACTGCGTTGGAAATCCCGCCCACAAAATGTCGGGTATACAGTCGCAATCATTCCAATTGCAGCGCAGCTTTTGGCTCTGGAAAGATCAAGTCTGCTCACAGCGTACCATCACCATGCCGAAATAGCGAGAAATGACGAGAGAGGACGACACGCAGAAGAGCAGCGCAGTGAAGCCGAAGAATTCGGAGATTCTGTCGTCTTACTTTGTACACAGTGATCCCGGCAGCATTGACACTTCACTCACGTATCGCTGTGTATGTGATACCTACGCCATGGTACAAGTGACACTGCGCCCTACGGCTCGCTGCCGTTTTGTGGCTGGAATGTGCAACATGCATCTGGTGATTCTGCCTTACCGCATGGATTTCAAAGATTGCTTAATTAACTGTGCGCGACGTTGTGGATGAGCACTCCGGACTTGAGCTGTAAATCTGCGACCAGCTGTCATACAAACGAAAATGCAAATGTGTAGGCTATCTGCATGCAGAGTGGCATATTTTGGAGTGACAAATCTCGATTTTGATGAAGTATATACGGAAAAGAGAAGGTGGGTAGAATAAAGTGGTCGAGAGAAAATGATAGCGCTAGACTGGACACGTGAGGTTGGACAGGGCACGTGAGGCTAGGACCGAAGTCTGAATGAAATACACGCTGAAATATTGTCGGGAGATCGGAGTCTATCATTACGCCAAAGCAAGCTGCTTCGAGGATATCCATTCGCAATTTTTAGCTATATATGTTCTAGGTATATCCATCAACAGTGTATAGCAACAACTCCTATCTGCATTCCACAGCCATGCATGCAGACTTAATGCCGCGACGCCTCCTCAAATCCAGGTCCGGGGGTCGATATCTTGTGGATGACGAATATGATAGAAAGAAGAAAACGTAAATGGCAAATGCAAACGTCCAAATCATGGGTAAAAATAGAAGGGGTAGGAGATGTCTTGACACAGGGCAAAGCTCCGGAATGAAGGGAGAATCATCGTTTCCCGCTTCGCTTGGAGGGTAGCTACCCGGAAGCAGTAGCAATATGTCAAGGTCAGCAATGCGGCAGTCCAGCTGAGTCAAGACTCGGACATGAGTTCTCCATTGGTTTCCGAGGAAGTTGTCCACCCGACCCAGGAATTGGGAATGGATATCCTCATATGAGCCTGAAGACCATCCACGGCGTGGAGAAATCTACTCGGCACAGTCCACACAGCATCAGCCCACTCATTCCTTGCCTCGGATTGAGGTCGATGACAGGTGCCATCTATCCGTGATCAACAATCCTCCCAATCAAATCCGGAAGTCAAAGGCAGCCGGGAGGTGCCGTCCAATTTCTGACAATCATACACTCGGAGAAACTCAAGATCCAGAACTCTTCCTACCGCTCGAATTTCGATTCCTTTGGTTATTTCCTCTCCTCTTCCCACCGCCATACCTCGCAGCACCCGAGAATCTTCCATGGGAAGGCGGTGGGTACGGGTTCCTTCTACTACTCGGAACGTTCCTCCGATGTCTTGCTTGGGAGTAGCTACGCTGGGCCGGAGGAGGCGGTCTGGGCGCATCTCTCGGCGGAGTAGGGCCAGCCCGCTCGCGTTCCCGGAATGATGGTCCCGGCATGTATTGTGGCGGGGGACGTTCGGGACTGGGCAGACGATCAGACCATCGGGTGGGAGAGTCATAGATCGGCATCGGTGCTGCTATGTATTGAGGCTCCGAGGCGAAAGGCGGCTGGTAACCATGATACTGCACAGGTCCTCTGTACTCGTACCCCCGAGCCGGATCAATGTTGAAGCCGGCTCTGACATCACTACCTCTGTGGTGGTACTGGGGGCGTGGGCTCACTGCCGGTGGGCTCCTTGGGACATAGAAAGGGGCGTTGCTTAACATAGAAGGAGAGCATTCATGCCTGTCTGATGCGGGAGCATCCGCACTGCTACCGACTTGGTAGCTGCTCTCGTAGTTGAGACTCCAGTGGCGGGCATCTCGATACACTTCGTCACGCTGGGCATTGAGGCCAGCGGCATCGACATCCATGAGGGCTGGGCCTCTCCAGCGAGGATCCCGCTCAGGGTACGGATTTGGGGCGAACATCGGCCGTCGCGTTTGCTCAGCAGGCGGGTACCTTTCTTGTAATGCCATTCTTGTAAATGGATAACTAGGCGGGACTGCAGGCTGAGTGGAGAAGTATGCGGCGGCGGAAACCTGAGTCGAAGACGAGACTTGATGCGAGAAGAGAAAGTCGCTGTCGTAAGAGATTCCGAGATGTCGCTTTTAAAATAGAAAACGGGAAAAGTAAAGAAGCAGTAGCAGAAAAGAGCAGGCTCGAGAGAAGATATGCAAATGCAGCGGCGAGATTCGGGACGAAGGAAAGGATACCTGCCTGTTCCATGCGAGCGAGCCTATACTTTCATCATCATCCTCCTCCAAACACACCTACCGATTCGCACACAAACGTCCTTTCATGCCCAATGCCGCTCATGGCGCCGTAGGGAAGTCCATGCTGTCGGATCATAACAAATCAAATGTAAGGTGTCAACTTACATGCATTGGTTGCGGCCCAACCTGCTTGGGCTGCAGCCACGTCCACCGGCACACCTCGCCTGCATCCGGTCCATCATTTCTGGTGCATTGATGCCTTCTTCTCACATAATCAATTATTCGATATAAATGTTCCCCGACGGCCACTCGACTCAAAATATCTCTTTCATAGGTCCGAGTCCGCCTGACGTAATCCACAATTCTCGAATCGAGCCCATCACAGCATCCACGATGGCGGGATCCGAAGAAAGAATGGCTTACAATGGTACAGGCATCAGAGAAGGTGGGCATAAGTCTGCCCTACCGTATATCGAGTTCAGAAACAACGAAGCTAAAGACGTCTGGCCGTCTTACAGCCTTCACCGTTGTACTTGAAAATTTTCGAGAAACTTCAATGTGAGAGACAAAGTCAGTACAACCTATGACTACTATAGGAGTTGGGTCTCTAGAAGATGTTACCTTAGCAAGGCTGGCTGCCATCGATGGACGAGGAAACGACAGAAAGAGTTGTCCGGTATCGAATAAGTAATTTCCAAGGTTTTCCATTCTCGAATAATTCATAATTGTCAAGTCGAAGTACTTCTGGGCTGCTGGTGGGAAATTCGTGGAGAAAACTGGCTTGCTTGCCCCGAAAGAGAAGATAGTTGGTGAGATGGTAAGCTGGTTTTGTGGCGCTAGTGCTCCGTATCTTATATTCATCGAGATCTCAACGCTGAAGGATTGGATGGATGTCTATCCTGTGACATGGCTGGCAGGCTTGGTGGAAACGTGTGTCGTATGAGGTAAGCTGTCTGTGTTGCAAGCTGTATTGAACGAGCTGTGAGTAGTTCTGGCATCAGAAGCTCTTGGGGTATCCTACTTCTTTGATGTGTTGTGCTCTAGGTATAGCAAGAATTGCTTCAACTTTGACTAACTTTCAAAGTCCCAAGAGACATGTGTACAACGGAATCGAGACGGTGTAAAATGATTGTTGACAGATTCCGGAAGAGGAAGCGATGAAATATCGAAAGAAAGACCGAAGAAAAGAAAAGCACCGCGAATGTTTATGCAGGATTTAGAACCGAATCGCCTCTTAGCACCTAGCCAAAGCATGAATGCACGGAGGTAGATGTCTTGTATCCATCCACTCGATAGTTTGTCGTTTCGCAAGACATCGGACTCAGGGTCATGCCCAGCTGTTGACACCAGGACGGTCGGTGTAGGCATTGGCAAATGTACAAAAGTAACTGAGAAGATTCAAGCATGTTTTGCTCGATGCAATAATTCATGATGGAAAAACAGTCCTGATGACCCAATAGTAAAGACGGACGTAACATAGAAGCGCAATAATTGTGGAGAGCATACCACAAGAATAGCAAAATAGAAAACAAAGCATAAAAGAATATCAAACTTGCCGATGTATGTACGCTATTCCGTACTTGGAGTTTTCATGAACCTGAAACCAATGCGCACGTGAGCCCATGACGGGGGTTGGAGAAGCCGATGCAATATCTATGCCAGCTATCCTTGGTCGCATCGGTTCAAGTCTCAAAACCCATCGCGAAATATAGGACGGCATTGCCTTGGCCTCTCCGTATATACTGTATCCCACCATGATCCTCCGGCCCAGGGAGTCATTGTAACCCGACCTGAACAGAAAGAAAGATGAGCAGCGGCGATGTTGCAAGCGCAGGTAAGACTCATTCAAAGCTGGTGGCGGGAGAACTGTCCTCATTCATTGCAGTTCCCTCCTGGATATCGACGGAATTCCTACGAGCGGAATTGGCACGGAGAAACGCGGAGGTTGTGAAGCCGCAATGCGGATCGGGGAAGAAGGGGAGTTACAACACGGGGGCGCATGTCTTTGCGCTGTTCTTGATACTGGCCCTGAGCACGATAGGTCGGCTTCCAACTCCTGCGGATATATATCAGCTGCTGCTAATTGCAAACAGCATGCGGATTTCCTCTAGTCTCTCGCAGAACTTCCAAGGGGGGCGCTGGGCCGAAAAGATTCATCTTCATATCACAACATTTCGGAACCGGCGTTCTGATCGCGACGGCTTTCGTCCATCTGCTCCCGACCGCTTTCACGTCACTTACAGACCCATGTCTGCCATTCTTCTTCAGCCAGGGCTATCACCCGTTAGCGGGACTAGTTGCCATGCTCTCGGCATTGGTTGTGGTCGGACTTGAGATGTTCTTGACAACAAGAGGGGCTGGTCATTCACATTCGCATGGAGAGGCGTGGGATACGGATCCGGATATGGAAGACGAACCACACAGTCATGCTGGCAATGGGTCGGCAGAACCTGCGAGGAGACCCAAAAACAGATTGCGAAATCTGATAATGAGCCGCCGACCAAAAGATATTGCCCTGGAGGACATGGATGCGTCCGAAGGACTTGTCGCAGGCGTTTCCCCCCTCTCGGTCTCGTCTCCAGCCAACCAGCCACAATGCAACTACCACGATGGAAAAGATGATGATAATGATTCCGACCTGAACCTGGATGAGCTAGATCCTACTACCGAAGCTTTCGCAGGATCTCCTACCGACATGGAAACTACGCCCGCCGTGAACGGGTCTACTCTTACAGCTGAAGATCAACAGAAAAGGCAGCTTCTCCAATGTCTCCTATTAGAAGCTGGGATATTGTTTCATAGCATATTTATCGGGATGGCTGTCTCGGTAGCGACAGGGCCAACCTTTATAGTCTTCCTTGTCGCAATCGCCTTCCACCAATCCTTTGAAGGTCTGGCATTGGGTTCTCGAATCGCGGCCATCAACTTCCCCAAACACTCCCCCAGACCATGGCTCATGGTTCTAGCATACGGAACGACGACACCAATAGGACAGGCGATTGGCCTGTCTGTTCACAAGCTGTACGATCCGCGTAGTGCGGCTGGGCTGTTGACGGTCGGGTTTATGAACGCCATATCAAGTGGGCTATTGCTGTTTGCTGGTCTTGTACAACTACTGGCAGAGGACTTTTTAAGCGACAAGAGCTACAAGATTCTGAAGGGTAGGCGGCGAATTGAGGCTTTCGGTGCCGTTATGGCAGGTGCTACATTGATGGCGTTAGTTGGAGCCTGGGCATAAGGTCCCTTGACTGTATGAAAGCTACGATTTAAGGCTCGGGCTTCTTGCATGCATAGGAGAAGGCGTTAAGACCGTTTTTCTGAATAGACACAGCACAGGAGTTTTGGCATTGGTGCTCCAAAGTTCACAAGCAAATCTGTGTACGACTCCCAAGTTATTTCCGTTCGCCGACCTGGATCAATCTCTGCACTTCCCTTAAGACCAAGCGAAGTTCGAACGGAGATGGAGCGGAGTAAGTCCGTAGAGACCAAATCAGGCCAAGCGTTTCGCTAAGATCGAGACAACCTCATTCCCTCATGCCTTCATGCCATCTTTCAAACATCTAAAACCTCCTACCTATTCGCCGCATATCCACCTCTTCCATCAATGAAGATCTTGCCGTATCCAGATGCTCCATAATCTCCTTGCCTCCATCCTCAACGCAGCGCGTCGGCCGGGAACATGAAGATCCATCTCGTCGCAATGGCCTCATCAACCCCCCCCTTTCCTCCCGCATAATAAGTAATGGAGCTTCCAGCAGGCTTCAACCGCCGCTACGCATGCATCGCCACCTTCCTCCTCGTCACCGTCTGGATATGGGTAGCTATCGACCGACCGTACAGCATACCCAGCCACATCACGTGGAACATATACTCCAACACGCCTCAATCTCCCCCCTCCGACATCTTCGACTTCCCACCTCTCACCTCCCCTCCATTCCTGAAAACCTGCGAAGCTACGCAATGGAACGAAAGTGTAGTCTTTATCTGCAACGAGCCGTCTGGAAATGTCGCCGAAGTAAGGAACTCGATATTGAGCTGTGTGCGGTATGCGATGGCTGCTGGCGGGAGCTTGGTCGTACCGAGGATTGTGGTGCGTGGGGGATATGGAGGGCAGGGTGGGAAATTAGGGGTCGGGAAGGGCAATTCGACGGATATGGCGTATCTGTTTGATACTGCGCATTTCGTCGAGTCCCTGCGCTTGTCATGTCCGCAGATGAGGGTGTATAGGACGGCGTTCAATATCAAGGATGGGGAAAATGCTACAGGACCTGTATTTTTGCAGCCGGAGACGCTTGTCCAGGAGAGTTTTGGGGAAGGGGAAAGGTTCGCCAAGGGCTGGAAGAAGTCATTCTACGCTTGGCTTAAACAGTACCCGGCAACAGACGTAGAAGGACCCGTCATCATCCAACTCGGGGATACATACTTGAAGTACCCACTAGCGAGTGATGGAACAGCTTTCCACCATTTTGGGAAAATCATGAAGATCCGAGCAGACATTCGAGGACTCGCTTCAACTGCCCTGGTGAAGCTGATCGATACGTACGACCGTATGGGCCGGCAAGAACCGCTGCTGAAGAATTTCGTACTCGGCGCCTACCTCAGCACCGAGTCGACCCTGGAAGATCTGCCGCAAGAAGACCGCTCAAATGCGGACTACGCCACGCAATCAAGTCTCTACCTTGACTACAGCCTCCGGTCCAATCTGTCCGTCATATACGCCGCCTCCTCATCCGCTCAGTCTACTGATATCCCGCAATTTCTGCAAGATGCCTCGCACTTCAGTTTGGAAGCTATCACTAAGATCGAACTTCTCAAAGGCCAGCATCGTAAGCGTTTACTGGGATTGACGTTCGATCAGCAAAGTACGGTTGATTTTCTTGTGTTGGGGCGGGTATCGCAGTTTTTAGGGGTTGGTCACTCCAGTTTTGCGTGGAATATTGCGTTGAGGAGACGGCAATTTGTGACGGGTGGCGTGGAGGAAGCGGAGGCCGGCCCGGAGGCGTTGAGCGATGCTTTGAGTCAGATTTTTGGGAGGCCGGGAGGGCATCCTGAGTTTCTGGCGTCGATGTGGCCGTGAAAACCGCTGAAATTTTTTGCGGGAATAAGGGGAAGGTGTGTTCTCTAACCATTTGCTACTCACTAAGGCCGACGTCGTGATCGTGACGCGGGGTCTATATCGGGTTACACGGCATAGGGACAATCTCACACCCACTCGATAGCAACTCGATAGCAACCTGTACAGAACTACATCCACAGATTAAACATGTAGTAGGCAACCGATTGGCTCAGATTTTTATATCGGGAAATCCGAGCCCGTCTGATTCGTTCCTCCACATTGCACCTCTCATCGCGGGGGTGTACGTTGAAATGAACGCATCATCCTCATCCTCGTCCGTATGCAACTTTAGATACAGGATGTTACCCTCAAAAGACGACCCAATCGAGCCGGAGATTGTACAGGCAGTCACCGAAGCAGATACTGGTGATGGTCTGGAGTCAAAGCTGCGAGCGACTGTTGATCGGCAAACGTACGTCTATTTGTTCTGGGTATGAGACTGTACTGATCACAAACAGGTACGGTGGCTCCTTACTGTTCAACTTTGGAGCCTTCGTTTTACCTGCTCTTTGCGGGACATTGAGTAAGCTCTGGGTGGCAAGCATCGATTCGAGTCAGGTGGTGACAACCGATGTCTACACCTACATTGGTGTCGTCGTTGAGGTCCTGAATGAAGGGCTTCCGAGGACGGCATGGGGTGTTATCGGCGACAGGTCGACGCAGACCATCAGGTCCCGCATCAGTCTCTCGTACACTCTCCTAGTTGTCAAGTCTATTCTCGGTATCATCTTGACCTTGGTTTTTATCGGGAGCTCAAAGCAATTGGTGGCTGCGTTTGTCCCAGCAGAGGTTAGAAAAACTTCGCTGACATACGTGCGGATCTCCTCGGTGCAGGCTTTGTCGTCGGCTATTGAAGTGGCGGTGGCCTCTGCCACTAGAGCTCTAGACCATCCTGATGTGCCTCTTTCTATCAGCTCGACGAAATTTGTCGTCAATATCATCCTCGATCTTCTCATCATGTCAAAATTCCACGTTGGAAAGAGGACACCAACGGTCCACGGGCAAGCTCTGATTCGGATGGCCTGCGACTTGGTATCAGCATTGACGGGTTTGGTATACTGCGTGTATATTGCGTTAAAGCTCGAGCGGCAATACTACTTGCAACCACGACGAGGTGGTATCTGCTTCAGGCGCTTGGCTCTAACCTCCTCTGGATGTTGCCATGGCCCATTGCCGTGACGAAGATTGGGATGACGCCCGATAACGCGTGGCGCTACCACTCCATCATATTTGGACGGTCTATTGTGTTCTCTTTCCTTAACGTTTCTCTCGCTCTTGCAATCTGGGATTGGTTCTACACCAGAGGACAGGTCTCCTTGACCCCGGTTCACAGCTCTCTTTGAAGAAGGCAAGCGCTGCGCAATTGTCTTCCTATAAGACGTGATCTCTCAAAGAGGCAGATCCTACAGCGTCTGGGTGGTGGTGGTTGGCGCTTGAGGGCATCTACCTCTGCTAGCCGGCATTGAGCCAGAGAGGAAAGCAAGACCTGGTACTAACAAGCCTTGATGCCTGGAACTGTGGAACAGCTGGGAAGGCTAGAGAAGTATAATCTTAGAGAGTGGCTTATGCAATGGAAGCGCCCTGCAGAAGCTCTGGGAAATCGGCTAATGGAAAAGGAAATTCGAAAACCTCTGTGGCTCTGCGCACGGGAAGTAGGTCAAGCAATGAACGAAATCTAATTATCTATTCGTAGCGTTCGTGTGTTTCTCTAGGTGTGATCAGAGAAGGCAGCACGAAGATGCTCTGCAGGAGTCCTCCGAATTTTCATACGAACTGAACAATGAAAGTGACCGAAGAACCATTTCTGGAAGGGATGAGCCGGTCGTTATCAGTGGCTGTCGCCGCGCGATAGTGTTCTCTACGTATCTATGTCTATCTTCTCAGCATGGGGAAAACGGTACTTACAGCTAGTTGCATGGTACCCCCTTGGATTATTTCTTCTTCTACTCAAGAAGCATGTGTAAGTGGAGTTGATATCAGGTGGGTTTTGAGCGAAGCTTTGATCTTCCTTGGGGTATGTACTCTAATTTCCTCGTCCATCTACTTTTACAAAAGATAATCAAAACAAAAACGAACCACAACGCAATGCGAAATCCAAATCCAACAGTATTCGATAGCGTCCCACGCTATCGTCGACACTGACATGAATTATCCTATCTTTCTTCCCAACGCGCTATTGTCAACCACCGCCGGCTCCCCTGGGATCTTCTCTCCTGCCGTCGTCCTGCTCAATTCCCCTCCCCGCCTCTCTCGATGGAGTACTACGACCCTATCACACCACCGAATCGTAAGTCTCGAGGTTTATTGGCAGGAAGCTCTTCCGCGGATGCTCGCGAATAATAACAACCCGACGTATAGGGCTCGTTCGACCCCCCTGCTGCATAATGCCAGGATAACGGCCGTGATAAGCAAATATGCAAGCGAGTTTCCGACGATTGTCGATTGTCTTAGTACCCGCTAAGCGAAAAAGGGGAGGCGAGGGGTAGCAAAACATAAACATCGGATTCAGGAACGGGGCGATACGAGGCGAGGCGAGTCGAGTCGATTGATCAATCAACATTGCATTGATGAACGAATATACGTTGGAACGATGAAGGCTGCTGGTCGAGGCACGATATCCTACCGAGCTGTTCCAAACTCCTATCCCCACTCATATTTCGCCATGCCAAGCATGTATGCCAGAGGTACAAGGAAAGGCCATCGACTGCGTCGGAGCAAGTCTTTTTCGGGAAGGTCGACGATGAATATGATGGCGAGATCATGGCCTGGAATGGGCTCTATCTTCCTTATCCTTCTTTGCATATCGATGGCAGCACCATCTCAAGGACAACTACTGTATTTATCCTTGGCCGGAAGTCCTGAGCTCTGCCACCATCAAGATTTCCCGTGTACAAAAGTCTTCCCAACTTCCTGATGCGGGAACCCGGTACCACGCTAGTAATTGCATGCAGGGACAAGATAAACAGAAGCTTGATCTCAAGGTTATCTAATGCTTGTGTTCGCTGGGCACTTGGCCTCCTGTCAAGCGAGTGATCGGCAAGCTTAGCTTATCTAGTCTGCTCTGTTACCTTCGTTCGAATAAGGCGCGCGATAACTTCTCGCGCATTCAACAGCGCTTAAAACATGCCTATCGCAAGCGAGAAGCCAACTTTGCCCTCCCGATACGTTCTTCGGGCCAAGGAATCACGAATGCATCCCCCACGGCCAGTGCCTCTGGCTTTCGAGAGCTCCCCCCTTAACAATTGCAACATTGGTCATCACCGAGAGAAAATACCCTTCGAGAAGGTGTTCAGGATTTTCGGGGACTTCAGGGTCCAGATTGGCAGGTGTGACTGATCACGGAATCTGGCCGGTGGAGGTCCAGCCCAGAGCCGGCTTGATTTCGACATGTGGATTCAGTTCCAGCTTTTCAAGAGCATTATGGCCAACAGGTATAAGTACAAGATGAATTGCTTGATAGTTTTGAATCTTCATCTCCCAGCTCGATCTCTCCAGCCTCACTCGATCAGACTCTTCTCGCCTCTGTCTCTGTCTCAACGGTAACTCTCTCAACGGTAACTCTTTAGCCAACTATGGTCTCCTACATCGGAAAGCTCGTGGCTTTGGCTGCTGTCGTCGTCCCAGCTGTCTTTGCTGCTCCTGCTCCGGCCCCTGCCAACCTCAAGATCCGCAACCTTGAGGCCAGAGATGTCGTCAAAGACAGCTACATTGTTGTCTACAACCCTGCCGTCGAGGCCGATATTTTCGAAGCGAGCATTGCCGAGGTCAGCTCCTTGATCTCCAAGCGTGCCGTCGCTGGTGGTATCGGAGCCAAGTACACCATCGGAGACTTCAAGGGTTACCAGATCACCGCAGACACTGCCACTCTCGCTGAGATTGCAGCCTCTCCAGATGTGAGTCTCATATCCCCTCCCATATATTCTATTGAAATATATCATCTGACCATTCCAGGTTGCCTACATTGAGAAGGACCAGAAAGTCTACGCCTCGGCTCTGACTTCTCAGACCGGTGCGACTTGGGGTCTTGGCAGAATCTCTCACACCCTTCAAGATTCCACCACCTACATCTACGACTCCACCGCTGGATCTGGTACTACTGTCTACGTTGTAGATACCGGTATTCTCACCACCCACACCCAATTTGGTGGCCGTGCTACCTTTGGGGCAAATTACGTCGACAGATCCGTAAGTTCACACCTGCTTTATCATTATTTAGAAGAGCCTACTAATATCAATGCCAGAACACCGATGGAAACGGACACGGGACCCACTGCGCCGGTACCATTGCCGGCTCAACGTATGGCGTTGCCAAGGCTGCAAAGCTCGTCGCTGTGAAGGTTCTGGCCGCTGATGGAAGCGGAACCACATCCGGTGTCATCTCGGGTATCCAGTATGTTGGAACCAACGCTCCCGCGAAGTCCGTTCTCAGCATGTCTCTCGGAGGTACCCTCTCTACCGCCCTGAACACCGCCGTCCGTAACACAATCGCCAAGGGCGTCACCGTCGTGGTCGCGGCCGGAAACGACAACAAGAACGCCGCCAGCTTCTCCCCGGCGTCCGAGCCGCTCGCCATCACCGTGGGCGCCATCGACATCAACGACAACCGGGCCTCGTTCTCAAACTTTGGCGCCCTCGTAGACATCTTCGCCCCTGGCGTGAATGTCCTCTCTTCGTGGATCGGCAGCAACTCCGCTACCAACACCATCAGTGGAACCTCCATGGCAACCCCTCACGTCGCTGGCCTCGCTGCCTACCTGATTGCCCTCGAGGGTCTCTCTACCCCCGCTGCTGTCCAGGCTCGCATCAAGGCCCTCGGTATTGCTGGCAAGGTCATCAGCCCAGGCACAGGCTCGCCAAACTTGATCGCATACAACGGCAACGGTGCTTAAATGCGATGTATCAAAGAGAGACATTGCAGACAACACCGAGACGGATGGAGAGGTGGGCTGTGGGGGAAAGCGCATGGGGAGTGTGGGGGGGCGGGGGGGCTGATCAGAGTTGATAAAATGACGGGACTTTCTCTTGTGGGGCTCTTTATGTCCAAGAAGGGGCTTTCTTATAGAAAGAATCTAGTATTGTATCTGTAAACACTGCGCAACACATTCTCAACTCGGTGATTGATGGGACCATGTTTACAATGTCAACAGTTCCGCCTCGCTTACATGGCTTGGCTGTACTAGAAACAACATCACGTGGTACCGGTCCTTCCAATCACGAGGCCGACGAGCTAGCTCCGAAAGTGAATGCGTCGCTTCTCGACTACAGCCTCAAATTCACGTCGCAATTCTTTCTCCTCGATATTTTCCCAAAGATAAACGCAACACCATCATCATCGCAACAAACATGGCTTCCTCCCAAGGCCACAAGTCCGTCTCAAACGTCCCTCTCTACGCCTCGTGCATCACCAACATCAAGCACAAAGCTCGCATCTGGAGAATCGCAGGGTACAGCTTCGATCTTGAGTACAGCAAGATAGACTCCCTTATCCGAAACTGCGGCGAGTACGGCGAGTACAGCGAGACGGAGAAGTTATGGCACGTCGAGCTCTACATTTGGAGCCACTACTGTACGTCTCTAAACAACCCCCTCCCCCCGCGCGCATGCCTCGCTCCCTCATCGAAGACGCGCACGCAGCACACCCGGCTTAGAAGAATGCAACTGACCGACCCATCTCCAGTCCCCAACGAGCCGTTTCCATTCCCCTGCCCAACATCTTCAGGTCAGGCCATGCTCGTCTCAGACGCAAACCCGGCGCCACCAGAACCAACGAGTCACCCCCGACCTACAGACATCTCCCCCTTCCCTGCAGTCTTCAACCCGTACCCACCAGTCTACATGCCGGGTGCCCGCTCCCCTGAGCCCGAGCCAGCGACATCTCGAGCAAGTCTGCCTTCCCAGAGCAGCAGCAGCTCTGCCAGTTTTCGCATCCGAGGCAGTAGTAGCGCCACCCACAACTTCGGCACCCAAGGAGCGGCAGCCTCGTCGATGAGCAACCGCCACCACAGCCCGCTACCAGCCAAGGTCTCCGCGGACGTGGCCATCGGACGCGCCTACAACAACCGGCCCACGCGTGGACGGAGAGGAGGAGGAGGACCATATCTGAGCGGGACATCTCCGGGACAACCAACATCGCAGGAGTCAAGCATCAGACGGCTGTCGCTTGAGTCAAGGATGGGACCGATCGGTGGTGGTAGTGGTACGAATGGAGGACATGGGCAGGTTGGGAATGGCGAGAAGAAGAAGACTGGACGCAAAGCTGTGCAGGCTGTACGAAGGCAGTTAAAAATTGCGAGACGGACGGGAGGACGAAATAAGGGGATGGGGCTGGGCAGACCCAATGCAGTCGGTTAGCTTAGTTCCTCTCAGAGTCTAGTCTCGCTGTACTGTAATTCTTTGGAATTGCGCTGAGAGAGGCAGAGCAGGGCAGGGTATTCCATCACCCAATTTGAAACAATCATGGAAAAAACGGCGATGAAGGAGAACTCTCTTCACGGTAGCTTTGATTTCTCCGCAGGAAGTAGCTGGCTCTGTGATGACTTGGAAATGAGTGAGACTTGTTGGCCTGCAACCAGGAGATACCAATATAAGAGAGAGAGAGATAGAGAGAGAGAGAGAATTCTATTCGAGATCCCCTCCTCTAGAGTCTACCTAATCTCTACTAACCTACTTATAATACCTCCCAAAACAACTAGACGTATAAGGTACCCTCCTCCCCACCAAGAGATAGCCTACCCTCCTACCACTCTCGAAAAAACGTAATGATCGCCCCGAAGAACAGGGCCCCAATCATAAAAAAATGAGCAGCATCGCAATGGCCATACTAACCAATACTACCGTCCCCTCCGTCACCTCCCCTCTATTCCGCACCGCTCCATCTCCCGTCCTCGTGGTGCCAGCATCATTGACCGTCATGCTGATGCCTGTGATGGTCGGGATTCTGGTGCCTGTACTCGTGCTCTGACTCGTCATGCTGGACACACCTTGGCTGGTACTTGATCTCGTCATGCTGGACATACCTTGGCTGGTACTTGATCCGGATCTGTCACTGAGGGTAAACGACCGTGAGCCCCCGCCGTTGCTGTTACCAGCACCGGATCCTCCAATACCAGAACCCGAACCCGAGCTAGAAGTACCTGCTGCACTCCCCTCACCAATCTGTCCTCCCCCATTTGCATTCCCACCCTCATAACTCGGCATAGCTGCAGCGGGTGGCACATATGCACTCGCCGTACTTCCCCCACCCCCTCCATTCCTATAACTCGGATTTCCATTCCCATCCCCACCCACACTCGCAGTCGTAGTAGCAACAGCCCCCGACGCCGGTATGCCCCTCCCCACGTCCCCCACGCTCTCACAGAAGCCCTCCAGGTTCACCAGCGGCCCGAATGCCGCGGGCGCAGCCGTGCTCGCAAAGTCTGCGCACGTCTTGACCGCGTCGTCCAGCACCTTGGGCACCCAGACTGTGGACGAGTAGCAGAGACAGTGTGCCTGTGCCGCCGGCGTGAGCGTGACGAAGCCGGGCGTGAGGCCAACGCAGATGCTCAATACTTGCGAGAGGAGGGCGCAGGAGGAGTTTTGGGCGAGTTGTTGGGCGGGTGGCGGGGTGGGTTCTGGGACGGTTGCTTGCCGGATGGTGACGGTGCGTGTGGGAATGGACGTGGGCGTGGTCAGGAGGATGTGTGGTGCTGAGAAGGGGAGGTGGAGGATTGTGATGAAGAGGTGGGTGTGAAGGTTGAGGTTGAGGTTGAGGTTGATGTGACGCATTTTCCTTGATGAAGTATTTGGATGCTTGCTTATTCCTGTAGTAAGGCTAAGCTTTGATGCTGAATTTGACTGGCGGATTGATGGATTGATTGATTGATTGACCGGTCGTGATGTGAGATGCTGCTGAATCGTGATGCTTGAAATGTGATCTCATGCTCTGTCTGATGAGTATAAGATCAGATCATGAGAAAGAAGGAAGGGCTGGCTGGAATCTGGATGCAAAGACAGAGGATTAATACGAACAAGTACTGTCAAGAAACTGGCGACAAGTTGGCGAAGAAGGAGCCATGAAAGAACCATCCTTCCCTGGACTAGACTGGACCGGCCTTCGATCCTGGCCGTCGCCAATCCAATCCAATCCAATCCTGAAAGCTGGAAGGAGACGTCAGAAATAAGACAAAAAGAAAAATAAAAATAAAGGGGGAAACGGCAACCCGCCATGTCAACAGTCAAGGCAAAGCTCACAGACGCAGAACCCGGCGATACAAGAGATGTTTCCATTCACCATGATGTTCCTCCCAATATCATCAACTCCACTGCCATCAGGGCGCCCCATCCAGAAACGAAACGTATGTACACACAACACCATATTCCTAGTTGCACCCTGTGGACCTCATATCCCTACGTCGAGCAACGCCGTGACCATGCCATACATGATGCAAAGAAGGACGCCAGAGCTAACACAAACAAACCCACTCATCTATCATATTTCGCGTCGAGAAAACCTTATCCGTCCGTGCGGTAGAACTTCTTGTACAACAAGTGCAAGAACAAATTGACATTGAGCCTCATACAGCCCTCGAACAAATCCATGTATTGGTGATTGGCGAACTGGGCAGCCAGGAGTGAGTCCATCGGTACTTGGGCGCTGGCTCCCGGGATCTGGATGCTCCCTTTGCTGCCCTCGATGAAAAAGATACCGACTTCGTCACAGGATATGGTGAGGTTGATCTTGTCCCATTCGCGAGGATCGAAGCCCTTCCAAGAGACGAGCACGCCCTTGTCGGACAGTGTCCGTGCCGAGTACTTGAAGGATCCGAATTTGGGCTTGCGCCCAGATCGCTCCAGTTCTCGCTCGTGGTTGTACTGCTTGGAGAAGGGCATAAGGAATCGCTTCTTGCTGTATGGTTGTTAGTGATGGTCAAAGATGGACGGAAAAGTGGAGCAACATACCCCTTCTTTTGCAATGTCATCATGGCTTGTTCAATGTAGTTGTCGTAACTCTTCCTTTGTGACTCGAGCCACTCGGCCTTCTCGTTCAAGTTCGCCAACGTGAGTTTGACCCCCTCGAGTTCGCGCTGTCTCTGCACTCGTCGTCGACTCTTGGTCCGGATGTCCAACGCAATCGCATTCAGGATATCTTGGTAGAAGTTCTGACGAGAAATCCTTCCCATCTGCTCAAGTTCCATAATGTTCTCCAACGCCGTCCGCTTCAGCTCCTTGTACGACAAGGACTTGATATCCACCATTGTGTTGGCATCCGAGTATGCGCCTCTCGTCTTGCTACCCTCTGCAAACTCTTCTCGAAGCAGCGAGTGCCATTTCATGTCGTCTTCGCGGCTGATGGGGCGAACGAGGATCTCCATGAGGTTTGGACCCGATTGAACCCGGATGATGTACAGAATGCATCGTTTGGTCTCCATGAAGAGTGCCTTGACGTCTGCTTCGGGATCCTCAATATCGTGTAGCTTTGGGGTCAGGTTCATGTGGATCTCGGTCGACGTCACGCCCAGCATCTCGGTTTCGTTATTCTGGGCACTTCCAAGATCTTGGACGATCTCCCGAAGCATATCGTCGCGGTTCGGACAGATGTGGGGGAGATCGGCCGCGATGAGATGATGGATCGAGAAAATATCTGCCATCTTGATGTAGAGGGTTGGTTTCGTGCGTGCGTACAAGTCGTTGAACTCGTCAATGTCAAAGGTATCCTCGGCATCGGGTACCGAGATGATGTTCGAGTAGATTAACGTAATCCGCTCGATGGCGTCGCCCACGTACGCGTTCAACGGCTGGAGGTAGATGTTCTCGCCGCCAAACAGTCGGCCGGATGCGACTTGGCCGAGAACCTTGGCGACCTCTCCAAGATTACGCTTCTGAAGTGGCGTCAGTTGCCTCTCTACTACACCCATCGACTCCGGTGCGGTGAGGGCTGGCTGGAGATAGAACCTCCACAGCCAGTGGCCCACGATCTGGAGCAGGTGCGTTTGAGGTTCGCGTGGGAAATGCCCGCACAGGAATTCGAATGTTTGCTGGCAGACGAATCGGACCCCATACGGCATGCGGTGAAGGAGTGCTTCCAGGGCGAGAAGGAACTGATCCGAGATTTCTCGGAGGTCACGCAGGTGGTCGATGAACATGTCTCGAGTCTCCGGATCCTTGATGGCAATCTCTCGAGGGATGTCGAGCGGACGCTGACTCGGTCGACCGGTTCGCAGCTCCTCGTTGTTGATTGCGGACCGGTAGATTTGCATGGGGTCACTCTCGAGGTCGAGCGCTGGGTCCTCGATGATGTTGGCGTGGATGAGAGGCCCTAGAAGTTCCCGAAGATATTTCCTGTCCCTCGGCGAGCGCGTGTAGTTGGCGAGGAGCTTGGACCAGAAGAAGTTGCCTCTCAAGTACTCCTGGATCGTCTGAACTCCATCGACCTCCTCCTTGACGGAGCGTGCAATAAGCTTGAGCAGGTAGTACTCCTCTCTCCGCTTCTGGGCATATCCAAAGAGACCCATCATCAAGGTCTCAATGCGCTTGGCATCTCGCTCGGCTGTTCCCTGCTCGCGGATCCGCCTGAAGAGTCGCGCAAGATATTGTGGCTGGGTTTGAAGAGTGAAGAACAGTTGCTGGTAGGATTCGAGCTTCTTTCTCGAGTTCTTGTTGAGAGCTTTCAGGTCGAATTGGTTGCCCGAGAGCATGTTAGTGTTGACCAGGAGATTACCCGAGTGGCCACCAAAATTCTTCTGATGCTTGACAACCTCATCCAGAGTAATCTTATTCTTAACCAGTAGCGCGATCTTGATATCCAATTGATCAATGTACTGCTCGGCCATCTCGTTCTGGCGGACCTGCTGTACAACAGTCTTTCGCATGCGCTCAAACTCGATTTCCTCGTTGAAGTCAAAATCGCTGTCGTTCAGGAGATGCACAAAGTTCTTGACCGTGTTGACCGGAGGGTTCTTGCCTGTGGTCAAGCTCTTGTACGCCTCTCCCTGCAGGCGACCTCGAACGAAGCTCTGGATCTTGACAACCTTCTCCATGTTCTCCTTGAAGAAGCGCTGCTTTTCCCTGAACTTGGCGCGAACCAATGACGCTTTCGCGGCCGCTTGCAAGGCCACAATAGATTCCTCCTCGGCGTCGAGCTCAGCAAGAACCATCCCGACATCATTTCGAAGGAGGACGGCGCGCGAGAGAGCCTGGAGCTCCACAATCTCCTCGACGTGAGATTGAAGCTCGTCCAGCAGAGCTCCAGTTTCTTGACGCTGTAGGAATCCCCGAGCCAGGGCCTGAAACTGAGCGATCTTGGACGTCTGAGAAAAGAGGATTTCGTGGTCGGCAGCCACCTCCCGACGGAGCAGCATCCCTCGGATGCAGGTCTGAACGTCTAGTATGGATGGTTCCTCATGCTGCAAGGCGGCGAGAGTTGCCTCTACCTCGCGTCGAGCGGCAGCAGCACGAGCAAAAGCCTGGAGAGCGGTGATCTGTGCAGAGTGGGATTCGAGTTCCTGCTTTGTTGACGCGATCTGGTTGCGAAGCAGCAGCCCCCGTGCACACGCTTGGAGGGCCGCCCAGATTGGCGTTGATGCTTCGAGGGCTTCGTGTTGGCGAGAAAGCTGGTTTCTGGTCAGCATGGCTCTGACGAAAGCCTGTATCGCACTGATAGAGCCTTCTTCGCGCCAAAGAGATTCTTTGTCATTGGAAACATGGTTTCTAAGCAACATGCCCCGGATCGCGGCTTGTAGCAAAATGGTAGAGCTTTCTCTATGACAAAGAGATGTGTGGTCGCTGGCCATATTGTTCCTGGTCAGCATGCCCCGGATGGCTGCTTGTAGCGCACTAGTAGAGCTCTCTTCGGACCATAGAGATGCGTGGTCATTTGCAACTTGGTTTCTAAGAAACATGCCCCGGATGGCTGCTTGTAGCGCACTAGTAGAGCTCTCTCCGGACCAAAGAGATGCGTGGTCATTTGCAACGTGATTCCTGAGTAACATGCCCCGAATTGCTGCTTGTAGATCTTTCACCGGCCCGGCTAAAGTCCTCGTCTCTTTTTCTTGGGCTGCCATTGACCTTCGGACCAGGAGTCCTCGAATCCCAGCCTGCAATTCCCTGACAAGAGCAGCTTCCCGTCTGAGCTCAGAGCGTGTGGTGCGTACCTCATTCCGAGCCTTCTTCGCTCTAACCAAGCTCTGCAGCTTCAACACATCCGATTCTCGGCTCTTCCAGAACGATTCCCGATTCGCTTTACGCCGCCGGACCAGGAATCCGCGTGCGTGGCTTTGAAGATCAATCGCGAATTTCCGCATGTTGAGGCGGTATTCAGCAATTTGCCGTGCAAAGTCACCCCGGATTCTTGACTGCAGCTCTACGAGCATATCCTCCGAGTCCCAGAGTCGTTGCATGGTGTCTCCCAGGCGCATCCGAACAGCTGCTCCGCGCATCTGAGCCTGTAGGTCGAGGATCACCATTTCATTCTCGTTCAGTTCTCGATGGATCCGGTCCTCCTCGCTCTCAACAGGCTCCGGTTCGGGTTCGGGCTCGGGCTCTGGTGCTGGCTCGACTCCAAAATCCGCGCTCATGTTTCCAAAACTAGGCATGCTGACCCCTGCCTTGTCCAGACCCTTCTGCATCTCTTCCAACTCGTGATGTTCAAATTCCAGCTGTCCGACGAGATTTCCAATCCGGAAATCAACGATCCCTTTCCTGAACAGCAGCCAACTCAAAGCATGTATGCAGTAAATGACCTTGGGAATATTCTTCTTCTCGTACAAGTCGATCAGCTCGAATCGGAAGAGGTCGGGCAGCTCGACCTCGGCGAGAAATCTAAAAAATGTAACTATATTGTCAGAGTGCCGATACTGAAGTTTGGGATTCCGGAAAATGCGTATTCTTCGATCAGGGTATAATGCTTCGACTATCTCGGCCAGCGTGACTCCGTCCCTCAGCGCCTCCTCGAGTTGGACAATCGGTGGTATGGGGCGCTGTAAGATATCCTCAATCCACTCCTTGGCTTCACCAATGTGACAGAGGTACTCGTAAGCCTGCAAGAACTGTCTCTGCTTGTCCATCCAATTCCGCCCCTCCCAGCCGTAAGCATTTCCCCTAGTCAGCGCAACGTTATTGTTGGCACCTTTGGGCCCATCCTGCCGCTGCAATCTCCTCCGCCCATGCAGCCCAGCTACTTCCTGCGCAGGACTCTTGATCGTGAACTCGTCTGGGTTCGAATCTGCTGCGAATTTCGACAGGACTCGTAGTTGACTTGTCGAAGAGCGCTGGAGCTGCTCCAGATCTGGAGCAGTCAGTGGGCTATGAACGTGTTGCATGGTGTTACTCCGACCGTGACCCGCGCGAGATGTAGAGTCTGCGCGGCTGAGGATCATCGAGTTGGGTCGTATTGACGTATTGCGTGAGGTCGGGCTCGGTGGGGGCTCTCCAAACGAGCTCTTTAAGATATCCACACTCTGCCCGCGCATATGGAGTCCGCTGCGTACATGTCGTGAGGGAGTCGGGGACGGCGGTTGAGGGAGGGGTCGGAGGGACTGTCGTACACTCTTGTATGCGCTATCCGGGCTTGATTCGAGGCTCAGATTGGCTATCCTCGTCTCTATGGCAGAGGGCGCCATGGCTGATGCGTCGCTGACCCCCCGTTTGTAACTGGTATATCCGCTCGATGCTGCTGAGGACCGCGTGCTTGTCCGGCTCAGCTCGAAGACCGCAGAGGAGTTTGAGTAGGCTGACGAGGCCGTGGAGGCGTTTGAGGGCTGGCGCTTGGTAGAGGAGTAGTAGTCGGCCGTCTGTGTTTGTCGAAGAGGGTGCTGGTACGACATTACGGCGGGACCTCTAGGGTGGGTGGAAACTTGGCGGATATCAGGTCAATCCAGGGCAGAGCCTATGTCGTCCGCATATGGTCGAAGGGCCGCCTGGCAGGCTGGAGCAGAGTAAATTTGGTAGGATCGGATAGTTTGACGTTCGCGTATCAACGTGGAGGAAATTCAATAGCGATAGTAGGCTCAGATACGCGCAGCGCAGCGCAGAGCAGCGACAACGTGAATGCTGAGACTGGATGACGAGTGATGGAGTTGAAGAATGCTAGATTTCAGCCACGGGATGGGATGGGATGAGGAGGCTATTTTGATTATGGTCGGTGGTGCGAATAGAGGTGGTAGGGTAGGGTTGTACAGAGGGGGAGGGGGGAGGTGCACTGTTTACTCCGAGAAAAGTCAACAAACGAAAAGCGTTGCCAGAGACGAGGGAGGTCCCTCACTTACTTGGCGCGCGGCCTGGTGGGAACATCCAAGCAGCGAGCAACTTTGTGACAGCGCACCGGCGCGGAAGAGAGAAAGTATACGAAGTTTAATAAGTGATACGTCAGTCAGTATCTCCGTAGGATGTACTACTACGTCTCAGTATATGTCCCTTGCATCTGAGGCTTATTGACTCATTGCAGCTGTTGCTGTTTCGATTAACATGCTGCACTCCAAGTGTAAATAAGCCAAGCCTGGGTATAATCTAGCTGACAGTATGTTTAGACAAAGCTTTGTTGAAATCCGCATCTACAAGTGGAAGAGCTAAGAATGATTTGAGTCTGAAAACATGCCTATTGGCGTATTATCAAAAAACAAATGGTAGGGGTGCAATGGGGAAGCTCACTGAGGAGACTATACACGGATTTGCCTAGGGGGCTTAAGCGGAGGGGGCAAGTTGTGTGCTCTCAATCAAAAAATACTTGATCACATCAAAAAAGAATAAGTTGTGAGCAGCAATGTCCAAGCCTTTATGCTATTCAAGTCCACCGCAATCTCCGCCGCGTTAAAACCTGCATTGAGGATTGAGATCTCTGGCGAACGCCAATCACCTGACCCACCTGCAGCTTGTCGGTGAAGGACTAGCGCCGGCAAAATCTCCCCACCATAAAAATAAATTTCTTCGACTCTGCCTACAAAAATTGGGCATCACCCCGTCAAGTGTACACAAATCCTCTTCGGGAGATACACTTCGACTACCTCTATCTAATATCCTCTCCCTGTTCCCTTCATTCCACTCTACTTCATCTTGCTCCTCAGTCAAGATGCCGCAAACAAACGGCGTCAAGTCGCACTTTGGCTCTGCCAGTGGCTTGCTGGACCACACCAAGGCCCTGGAGATCCTCGAGAATTACCCTGAGAGCGACGGTTTGGATATCCAATCGCTGCTCGACTCCAAGAAGCACGGTGGATTGACCTACAATGACTTCCTCATTCTCCCAGGTTACATTGGCTTCCCTGCCCACGAAGTCGTCCTCGATTCCCCCGTCACGAAACGCATCTCCCTCAAGACACCCTTTGTCTCCTCGCCCATGGATACCGTCACCGAACACGAAATGGCTACACACATGGCTCTGCAGGGAGGCCTGGGGGTCATCCACCACAACTGCTCTGCTGATGCGCAGGCCGAGATGGTCCAGAAGGTCAAGAGATTCGAAAATGGTTTCATTCTGGACCCGGTCGTCCTCAGCCGAACGACCACCGTCGGAGAAGTCAAGGCGCTGAAGGAGAAGTGGGGTTTTGGCGGTTTTCCAGTCACTGGTCAGTTCAGACTCCCTCTCCTTCATTCCATGTACACTTCCATGATTATCACCTATACATATAACTTTCGTTCATCCGTAACTGACCGCGAGGTCTTGGGGAGAAATTATGATCTTTATGAATAAAGCGTCACGCAATTGCCACTTCCAACACAGCTCGCTTTGTTTGCACCTGCTAACTGGATGCACTGGGATGTAGAAAATGGTAGACTCGGATCCAAGCTCGTTGGCATCGTCACCAACCGAGACATCCAATTCGAGGATGAGGATAACCTGCCCGTCTCCTCGGTCATGGTCACCGACCTGATCACCGCTGCAGCTGGTACCACCCTCCTGGAAGCCAACAAGATCCTGGCCAAGTCCAAGAAGGGCAAGCTCCCAATCGTTGACAGCCAAGGAAACTTTATCTCCATGATCTCCCGATCGGATCTGACCAAGAATCTGCATTTTCCGCTGGCCTCCAAGCTGCCGGACTCGAAGCAATTGATCTGCGCTGCGGCCATTGGTACCCGACCGGAAGACAAGATCCGTCTGCAGAAGCTGGTCGATGCTGGATTGGACATTGTCATCTTGGACAGCAGTCAAGGCAACAGCATGTACCAGGTTGAGATGGTCAAGTACATCAAGGACAAGTACCCTGGTCTTGATGTGATTGGCGGCAATGTCGTGACACGCGAGCAGGCTGCCACCCTCATCGCAGCCGGCGTCGACGGTCTCCGCATCGGAATGGGCAGCGGCAGCGCTTGCATCACGCAAGAAGTCATGGCCGTCGGCCGTCCCCAAGCCGCAGCTGTCTACAACGTCGCCAGCTTTGCAGCCAAGTTTGGCGTGCCTTGCATGGCCGACGGCGGTATCCAGAACGTAGGTCACATCGTCAAGGGATTGGCATTGGGTGCTACAACCATCATGATGGGCGGTCTGCTCGCCGGTACAACCGAGTCCCCTGGGACCTCGTTCGTTAGTCGCGAGGGCAAGCTCGTCAAGGCTTACCGTGGCATGGGTAGTATCGATGCCATGCAAGACAAGAAGGCTGGTTCCGGTGCCAAGGACAGCCAGAAGAGCAACGCCGGCACCGCTCGTTACTTCTCCGAAGGCGACAGCGTCCTCGTTGCCCAAGGTGTTTCTGGAGCCGTCGCTCACCGTGGATCCGTCACCAAGTTTGTTCCTTACCTTGCTGCCGGTCTCAAGCACTCACTCCAAGACTGTGGGCGGAAGAGCTTGGCTGAGTTGCACGAGAGTGTTGCGAATGGTACCACGAGGTTCGAACTGAGGACTGCCAGTGCTCAAGTGGAGGGTGGTGTCAATATGGAGAGTTACGAGAAGAAGCTCTACGCCTAGAGTTGTCTCTTAAGGGAGTTGATGGGTCGTGGGTGGCAAAAATGGTTTATGGTACGGCGGGTTGGAGTTGGCGGCGGGTCTGATCTTGGGCGCGACGTAATTGTTGCAAATAGGACTGAAAATCAAGGCATTCATACGAGGTTGAGTGATTGTATAGGGCAAGATATTCTCTGATGTATGGGCAGCATAAGATCCCAGCCCGAATTCTTTCTAGAAGTCAATCACTGGGCCATATGGAAACAATAGCATGTTAATTACAATAATAGGGGGTGGGACTATTGTGGAATAGAAAACGTGGAGTAGATTAACATGCCGTTATTTAGTAGATGTAGATTGAGGCTCTGCGGGAGGAGCCTCGGCACTTGATTCCACTTTTTTTCCCAACGACATCTGCATCGCCAAATTTACCTTCATCCCCAACTCTCCAACTCTCCAACTCCAACTGAAGAACAATGCGAGTGTATGTTCAGATGGAGTGCATGTTATGTCGAGAATGGCCTTATCGGATTGAATACGTCTGACTTTCACTCGGGATTGAGATCTACTTCTCACCTTGTCATGGCGAACAAAATGAAGATTGCTCATCTGATACTGCTTTGGTAATTCGAGTTTCGCATCGCTTAAACTTCATGGGTATTTTTCTTCAGCTTTCCTCCTTGCACTATCTATGTTCGGCCGTCCGTCTTTATTAATCAAGTTCCCTATCACCTTAAAACAGTGTACAAAGCCTTGTCGGTCTCAGCCTGATTCTCTGATCCGGTTTGAGAGTGCTGTCTGCTCTCCGTCACGCTCTTCACACTGCTGCCCCCCTTCTCTTTCTTCTCTGGTCCCTCGATTGCCGGCAGCGCATGGTATGTGGTTGGGGGGGGGGGGGGGTTGTGACCATCTTATCCACTCACAGAATCTGCAGGGTGTTCGCTCTTGTGTCCAAAACTTACCGGATCATCTCAACAGGGAAGGAACCTCCGCCACGTCATGCTCCTTCCCGTCGGCGATGAATGCTATCTGAAGCATCTCGAGCCCATCTCGCCATTACCATAGCCTCCTCTTCGTATATCTGCTCATACCTAACCCCACGCCATTCGGCCATCTTATATCACTACCCCCCTCCGCTCTCTCCTAACACCGACTGTCATGGATCCCGTATTTCGACTCAGAATTCACAGGCAGCTGGAAGTCTTCAGCTGGCGCTCGAATCTCGTCGAGCGCAACATCGACCATTTCTTATACACAATCAAGGGCGAAGGACGGAGTGGCTAACACAAGGGCTGCAAGTGAACTTTGACTACGAAGAGGACTACAGTTTCATCGTCAATATAGATCTTGGGAGGCGCGTTTTGGCTATGTTCCCGGAACCTTTGCCGGGACTTGGGTACCAGCACCATGTTAGGAGCACGGCGATAACTGCGATGGGTCTGGGAGGGTCTGTCTCGAGGGGGAAATATTCGATTGCAAGTGGAACCGCAGGACCTGGGGGTTCTCTACTCTCTTTTGCGAGTGGAATCGCAAGGTTTAGGAATTCTCCTATCCCTTTCGAAAATGGAACCGCTAGACCTTAGGATCTTCTTATCTCTGTCACAAGTGGAGCCGCGAGACCTAAGGATTCTCTTATCCTTTTCGAAAATTTAACCATAAGACTCAGATATTTTCTTATCTCTTTCATAAGTGGAACCGCGAGACTTAAAGATTCTCTTACCCCTTTCGTAAATGTAACCACAAGACTTAAGAATTTTCTTATCTCTTTCATCAGTGGAACCGCGAGACCTGAGGATTTTCTTATCCTTTTCGCAAATGGGACCGCAAGGCTTAAAGATTTTCCTATCCCCCTCGCAAATAGAACCGCAAGGCCTAGGGATTTTCCTATTCCCATCAAAAGAGAGAGACGACCAAAGGAGTTTTACGCAAGCCGCAGGCTCCCGGCGAGGTTCGAATCCGGCCCCTGGCAAAAGCAAGACGACCAAGGAAGTCTTTTGCAAAAAGCAGGCCCCCGGTGAGGTCCGACTCTGGCCCACGATGAAAAGCGTTATCAGCACCAACGACACAAGTTGTACGGGAGGAGCCAGTCGAGCTATCTGCCCGAAGACAGGGTATTTGCGACGTCTACAGCCCAAGACGGACTCTGTCAGCAAAGAAAGAGAGAGAGAAGCGAAAGACCCTGGAAGGAGTAGCGACATGAAGCTCGAGAACGGATTTCGAGATTGAGAGGACGGTGGATCTGGAAGAAGCAAGGGCGGAATGGATTGCTCTGTTTCGCTCATCTGTGGGTGTCCCAAGCCGCGTTTCTTCATGCCACTGCGTGATCTCTGGATGCGTGATCTCTGGAGATGGGTTGCGCTGGCGTACGCCTTTCGGGTCTGGGTCTACCGCTCTGCGTTAGCACGTAGCGTCGCATCGTGATAACGATTGCGGGTTGGTATACCCGATGTCGTGGCTCGTTCGCAGAGAGCAAAGACCAGAGCTTGGTGTAGGCCTAACCACCTCTTCTGCTCTAGTCACAGTATGTATGATCTTGGACGATAGGTCTCTCGTGAAGATTCTCGGCGAAGCGTATATATTCGAGATTAATAGTTAGTGTGTACAGAGTAGGGAGTAAGGCTGATAGAGGGCCGGAACCGGGATTTGGACCCGGTTCTGATATCCCGGCTCGGAACAACCATTTCCGGCCTCCGCTACAGTAAAGATACTGGCGGGAACTCGACGATTCAAAGGGGAGAAGCTGAGGAAGTTTATGTATTACGCATACCAGGCGTCAGCCGAGAAAGCCCCACTGAATAACGTTAGGGTTTTTGAGGGGCGTTTTCGGCTCGGGGTCCACAAGGGGCTCTTACCAGGGCCTGAACCAATGAAGTTGTATGACGGTTCAGCCTTGAAGAGGTATTTTTAGACACGTATCTAGTCTGTGCAATAGAGTTGTCCGCCGCTCGACGATCTATGGGGCTGAATTGGGTCCGGCTTGTATTCAGAGGGCTTCAGAGGGCGGGGTATATGCCGCGCTTCATTATTCCAATGCATTCTGAAACTTCGAAGGTCCGCTCCTGGTCAGCTCTCGACACCTATATCCCTTAAGTCAACTCCAAGGAGTAGGGGATTTAGAGGCTGAAAGCTGACAGATCATTGGTGCGATCGACACCCTCAGCCATCGATCCAGGTTGGAGCTCCAGCTCTTAGGTATTCATCTACTACGTACAGTAATTGTACGCAGTAGTTGTAGGGCTCCGTGTGGGTGGGGATGCCGAAGCTGGGTATTCTTATGATACAGATGAATACAGCAAAGATATGCCCTCTTTCGAGTACGAAGCCGGTTGAGCCGGTTGAGCCGATTGTGTTATAAACACGACCTATTCCCTCCCGCCCTCTCCGTCCCCTCTCCAGTCCCTCTTCGTCAACCCATCCTGACACCCAAAATGAAGCTCACTCTACTCGCCGTCACACTCGCGACGCTCGCCCCCTGCCTTGCAGCTCCAGCGTACAACGCATCCGTCACCAGCTTAGAGAAGCGTCAAGTGTCATGCAGGACTATCAGCCCGGCGGTAAGTTGCCTCCCAACCTCCCAACCTGGAAAACCATATGCGCACGACCCGAGAGACTAACGTCGATCTCAGTCCGAATACTGCTCTGATCACGCGGACCCATGTGGTGTAATTAGCCCCTGTCCCCTTTGACCCTGCGGCGCACCGGTGTGCTTTCCACACGGAACCTTCGGGTGCCTACCCGAGAGCGGAAGAGGACAACATGTTAACCGGTGTCCCCTCCAGGGCGATCAATGTCTCGATGGCGGATGTTACGATGGGGTACGTATACTTCTTCCCAGCCGATCATCCTGCCCGCATACAGGATGGATTGAGAACCGTTACTGACATTACTGGCTGGGGCTTTATAGAGTTGCTACTACAGCTGCGTACGTACAATGTCCTTCCGAAAAGAGATGGTGTTCTGACTAACGGCACCACAGTGCCATTACCGGTTACCGGGTTGAGGGCAATGGCGAAGGAGCCGCTCGAGGTGCGAGGCGGAATGGCGTGCCATGTAAATTTGGTCAGGTATCAATACATCAGGTTGCCAGTCTCATTCTCGATCCCAGCGCTCTCTTGGTGATTCTTCCATGGTATCCGAACAAAAGTATGGCATCCATTGTCTCGAGTGCCTATGACGCCGATAGCGCGCACCTGCTTTAGGCACTTGGTGGAGCTGATCCCCTTGGGCAACATACATGCTTCCATTCCACATAATCGTGACGCTCAGAGGGGTTGGCTCCCCCCGATCTACTCTCCGCTTTCCCAAGACTCCTTTGCAAGAGCTCTTCTCTCTCTATCTGCCCCTCCCCCCCCCCGAGGTAGAACGAACACGTTTCACATGTGTTTGGAAAGCTCGGAGCGCTTGATAGAAAGCGGAATAGTGCATCTAGTACATGTCCCCTCGCGGGAAAGAGATTTACACGATATGTACCAAAGTCGCGAAGCGATAAGTATAGGTACCTAGGTAAGCACAACGCACGTTAAAACCATAGCCGCTCTAACACCCACGAGAACTCGCCACGCCGATCCACCGAGCGACCACGGCAGACAACGAAGCCAAGGGCCGTCCCGAGCCTCTCCCAACGCGACGCTCATGTGGAATCGAGGCAGTCCATCCATCCATCCACCCACCCATCACGCTTCGACTGCCGAAAATGATTCTCGCGTCCACGACGAGGATCAGGATCAGATGCGAAAGGCAAGATACCTACCTACCTCGGCCAGTCCTCGAACCAGCTCCATTGTTCGTACGCTGTGCATGCTTCTTTCTCTCCGTCGACGTACCCGATGTGATACGCGAGAACCGGTTCACGCACGCGCATCGCAACGGTGAAGGGGCGTTCGTCTGGGGCGAGCCCGTACGTCAAACGGTAGCGAGAATACAATGCCTAAGGTACACGGGGGTGAAAACTGGCCTGGAGAAGGTGCCGACGCCTTGTGCGGCGCACGCGCAGGAGGCGCGCTCGGATCTTACTGTACTACGGTACCGGTATCCCCCTTCCCTGAATAAGAGCCGAAAAGTTTATATTTTTTTTCTTTTCTTCTAGGGGTTTACCAGGGGGTTGTACAGTACGTACTGTAGTACTGTAACCCTACCCTACCCTACCCTAATGCTTAGGAAGCAGCCCCGCCCCTCGAGCATTCATCGTTTCCTTGGGTGGGTGATCCCTGATGAAATGGATACCTTATCAAGCAATACGGTAATGGATGCACGCGGAGGACTCACAGTCGTAGAAGATCAATCGACACGTTACGGTACTTTGCTACGTTTGGTAAGCGGTCGGCTTTCAGGTCTGTATGTAGTATGTGCTCGCACCACGTGGGTTCGCCTTTGGTTTAGGGCAAGGGGGGGGGATAGTAGTATATGCGAATCTCGTATCGAGTGCCGATGAAAAAGATCGGAGCTTGGTTGTTGCAATAGCCGACGGGGACGTACTACCGTACGTACGTGCCGAACATTTCCGTACAGTCAGCCCTGTTCGGGACCCGGGGTGGTTCCTGCGAAGGAAATCACGATGACAAATATTTACAGAAGCAAGAGATGGAGAATGAAACAGAGGTCATGTGAGAGAAATGCATTCTTCGATAATATAATATGGCTTCTGCGCTGGACCCGAGAGAATAGCACGGTTGAGTCGACCGCCTTTCTCGAGGAAAGTATCGAGCTCTGGCACCTTCCGGGAAGAGGTGCGAAGCACGGCAACCGTTGGACGGTTAGCTAGGTCTAGGTTCGCGCTGAAGTAGGTAGATGCTCGGCTAACTTAGTAAGTACTACTGTACTACAGTACAGTACGCATCGCCCTGGCATAGGTAAGTGGGGCCGTGAGTTTTCGCGTGCGAAACGAAAACATCTAGGATATCGCTACCTTAAAGGCAGGTAGGGGGTTATTTAAACCGTCAGCTGACAATCCGATGACGGTCTCTTTAGAAGACGATTCCAAGAGGTTGGCATAGCTAGTGGATCACCCTCGGCCGATACTTAAAATTGAGTAGAATCTGAAAACAAACGATTTAAATCCTTTAAATCGTAGCTGAAATAAAACCGTTTCAATCGATTAAATCGTTTTTTATAAGAACTCGTCTTTTCGTTGAAAGATGATTACTAAAATAAGATTGTTTTGATCGATCAAATAGTCGTCTATAAAAGTCGGTCTTTTTACGAAAAGATCGTTTTAAGACCGTCTTGTGGCCGTTTTGGTGGCCGTCCTAAGGCCGTCCCCGAACTTGAAACCGTCCTTGAAAACGTAGATTAGTAAGCAAATAATCTTTATTTTCTTTCAATTGCATAGCAGTGTACCTTCTACTACCACCCTCCCCCCCCTCCTCTTCTTTCCTGCTTAGCAAGCGACACGAGGCACGGCATGCGCGGGAGAACTTTTGCTCAATCGATCGATTCCGATTATAAAAAATTTAAAGCGTTGATATATAAGCCGTGGCAGCGATACCGAGAAATATCTTGGCATCGAACTTATTAAATTATTCTTGAAACGATTTTATTTAAAAAACGATTTTTATTTATAGTTATATTTTCGTCAAAATAATTATCGGACCATTTCAATTTTTCTAAACGAGCTTATTAGTAAGCTTGTTTTAAAAATATAAACGGGGACGGCTATAGGACGGCCGTGGGACGGTCCCAAGCTCGGGGACGATCAAAAAGGTGAATTATTCTTGATTAATAACTAGTACTGATTTTAAATAGTTTAATAACCGTCTTATATAAAAGAGGGTCAGAGGACCGCTCAAATGACCCCCTATCTGCCTTTAAGGTAAGCTTTACGTCCCCGTCGCGGAAATACCGGTATATTCTGATTCTGTAAGCTACAGCGGTGCTCTTACTACGTATTTGACATGCGCACGCGCGCGAGCAGAGGCCTGAAATAGTATTCGACGGGCAGACCAGAAAGGATACCTAATGATGATGGTGAGCAAGGTAGTTGTTATTTCTACTAGTAGGAAGCTCAGAGCAACGTGAGCCTGCTATACGGTATACCGGTACCCCTCCCAAGTGGTCTGTGCCACCTGTAGTAGCCTGGTGGCCTGGTGGCCTGGTGGCCTGGTGGCCTGGTGGCCTGGTGGCCTGGTGGCCTGGTGGCCTGGTGGCCTAAGGCCACGACGACACGGGCTCAGCAATCTCCAAGTCAAGGATCAATACTGTACGAGAATACAACACCACCGGCCTGAATTTCGATCCCATCCTCGCTCTCGACACGTAGTACAGGATACCAAAGCCTCGCCAGCGCGGAACAGCGGAGGCTTTTCGGCACGGCACGACCCTCCATCCTGTTTCTGCGTGGCGAGGCGAGCGTGCTACAGTCTCACCGTTACTATCTCGGAGTCGCTTCTGCGGAACACGAGACGCGCTGTTTTCGCGGGAACGCTTCTCCGCCAAGCACAGCGCAGGAGACTGCGGCTCGGTCCAGGACTGACTTCATCATGGCAGAGTCGATGCCGGGGTCCGCGGGGAACCACTGACTGGCGCCGCGCGGGGCGTGCCGTTTCCCGTCCCGGATCGTCGCGTCTCGACGATGATGTGCACGATTCTTGATTAAGGTCGTTCCACCCCCTCTGCCCTCTGCCAGAGGCCGGTTGGAGCAATCTCTGCATCTCTGCCTGGAGGCTTGTCGACCCCATCGACCAGAGACTTTCTTCTCATGCATTGACTTCCTTGGTGCTGTTCTGCTTTTGAAAAATCTTCGCCTTGTCTCGGCATGTTTGAATGCGAAGCTACGGGCGAACCCGGCTTGGGTTTTGAGAAATCGGTGTGCCTTCTTCTGAGAAAAAAGAAAAGAAGAGGACAAAGAAAAAAAAACCAATAACCCGGTTTCTGAAGTCGAGACGCCTCCCTAGATGCTTTGCACCTAAAACTACGGCGTCGGCCCGAGATTGGAAAATGGCAGGAGCAGCAGCTGAGACAGCAGGTCCAAAGCCGCATTCTTTACCTTTGCCGAAGACCATGCGACGCCCATTGACGGTCAGATGCAGGCGCATCTGCTTCCGGAGTGTCGTCCACATCCATGGCAGGTGAAGTTGGATTGCGAGGACGGACCTGCGGGGGCGGGTCTCTGGAGATGGCCGAGTACTGTATTGTGTGTCCCTATTGCATAGCCTTGAATTTGGGACACCGGCGTCGCGGGGTCTCGACCGAGGAAAGTGGAATCCACATCCGCCGGATGGGGTCCTACATAATTCCGCCCTTATCCGTCTGCTCATCCCGATTGTGAGGATGAGCGTTTGCCTTCATGCCCGCTTTAGCCCGCCTTGTTTCGCCTTTTTCTCTACACCGATGATGGGAAGGAAGAGAGTTGGAATGGAATGGAATGAAAATGGACTCTCCCGTGGGGCGCGAGATAGAGGGATTCGCGTAGGGAGACGCACGCTCCAAACTAGCGTTCTGGCCTTGTGAAGACGTGATGGAGATTACAAGCAATATCTGTACATTGTTCTATCCTATCTCGTCAGACCTGCATCGACTCGCCGTTTCCGTTCTCAGTCATGCGTCCTCCGGCTTCAATCTCCTCTTACTTCAGCGTAGCGTAATCAAAAGTGTCATCCTCCTCCCGCACCGGGCCATAGAAAGCTACATCGTACACCTCATGGTCATCGTCGTCATCATCCTCGTCGTCGTCAACGACGGCTCTAGTCTTGACGGTCAATGCTCTCTTGCCGGCGCTGTGGTCTCGTCGACTGAAGAACGAGTGAGACGCGAGTAGCTGCTTGCCCTGGCAGACGAATCCTGCGAGGGTAGTCAGCAGTTAGTCAAAGCGTGGCACGAGAAGGTGAGAGAGCCCCGAGTGACGTACCCATGGGCGTCTCTGAGAAATCTTGGCCCTTGCGTCGCAGAGCCAGCCATTCGTGAAGGAACATGAGGGGCTTTCGAGCGAAGACTCGAGGCTTCGGTTCCGCAGCAGATTCCCTGCTTCCTTCGATCCGGACAACGTCATTCGCGCAAACATCAGCATCAGCATCAGCATCAGCATCAGCATCAGCATCCTCCTCCTCCTCCTCCTTGATTCTGCTATTGCTCTCCCGCACCCCGAGGAAGGAGAGAATGGAGCTGTATTCCGAATATTCAAAGTATAATCGCCCAGAGAATATCCCCAGCTCCGTGCAGAGCCAAGACGGGGGCTCCCAAGCTGACGGGAGAGCTGGAGTAGCAAAGTACTTGAAGTCGTTGAAGTGGAGCATCTTGCGGGTGACGGGAGCAGCGTAGACTAGCAGATGGGCTGCAGAGTCAGGCTCCTTCACAATTCGAAGTAGGATTTCTGCTTCCTCGGGTATGACAACCATCGCAATATCTGCCGTCGGACTCCACAGAACCCAATGAACATCTCGCTGGAAGTTATCATATGCTGCACCACCAGATTTTGTGTGCACAGTCTTCATGAACTCAGCCGAAACGTATAATTTTCGGGATGTTTCCTAATCGAATTATTAGCGTGCTATCTGTGATGGATCCCATATCGCAGGATGGGTGCCATGTAGTCGCATGTACTCACATCACTATCGACTCTGAATTTCTTGCCCACGGAGAATCTCCGAATTGCCGTAAAAGCCAGTTCGTAAGCACAAGTCCCTCCAATCTTCCTACCAGACCTCGCAAAGCTCGTGATGTCTCCGTGCAAACCAGGGAAATCCATAGCCGGGTAATGGGTCTGCTTTTGCACTTCTCGTACAGCTTCAATCTCGTAGGCAACCTCGCGCTGTGATTTGGCTTAGTAGAGGTAACCAGTATTTCAGGGGGACATTTTTTGTGTAAGGAAGGAAAGACCAACCTCCTGCTCAACCTCTTGCAGGGCAGATCCATGAACGGCATCGCCAGTGTCTTGAAACCCTCTTCTCTTGGACCTGAGTTCTTTCATGAATGTCTTGACTCCAGGCGAGAGCTTGTCGAGTGACACTGAAGACTTTCCCATACCCGTGTATCCGTAAAGTTGCTCCAGTGTTTGCTGTTCGATCTGCTGAAGGCAGCCAAGATACTTCTCACGCTGGTCTGGGTTCTTCAGATGGTCTGGGTAATCCAAGGCAGCTTGAGTTCTCTTACAGAAATCGGCACCCTGGGAGAAGTACAAAGGTTGCAATTGCTCCATACCGCGACACGTCTGCTCGAGGAGCCAACGCACAACATCGAAGGAATCAAGCCTATCCCCGGGCTGCTTATCACTGAGATCAAGAATGCTGTGAGTGACTTCCGGTGGCGCAAAGAACGCGATCGACTGCGTAGTTCCTAATTGGCGTAATCTCATGGCAGCCTGGACCGTATGATCCTTGGTTTGACCCAAGCCTAGCGTCAGTGCACCTCGGGCATGTATTGGCAACTTTAGATCTGTTCCTCGAGTATGAGCTTGGTCGATGTAGACCCTGGCAAGTCAGTAATGCTTCATCACTGGCAGAATAGGCAGCTGAAAATCGCCAGACTAGTTGGGAACTTAAAAGGGCAATGAAACCGTCCTCTACTTACAAACACTCGCTCAAGTCATCCGCAAATGGTGTCGCTAGGAGTGGGATCGGGCGGCCTGTCTTGTTTCTATAAATTACCTGCGGTTTGCTGGTGGTATCGAAAAACACGGCGGCAGCTGCCTTAGGGACGATTTCAAGCCAGGCCTTGGCCAGGGTGGAGTTGTCCATCTCCAATATTTGAGCGCCAGCATCTATCAAGACGCGGATGCGAGCGTCTGCAATCTTCTCAAGAAGACGATACTCAGAGATGTGCTTTCCGTCTCTGTCGGCGGCTATGTTCGGCCAGTTAGTATATCACTTACCGAATGTTTCGGAGATCGAGGGAACACCAGAAAAGCTCGGGCTTCCATCTGCTAGAGATATAGAGAAAAGGGGGTGGAGTACACTGACCTTGGATGTATTCTCTGTTTCGAGAGGCAAGTAAGTACGTCAACACCTCCGCATTCGTATGAGATGTACCCTGGAGATCTTGCTGTCTAATTGTAAGGGGAAGCATTCCTTTCCCATCATTAGTCCCACTAAATCCCGTCGTCAATTGGCTGCTTGATTTCTTTGTTTTTTGCTCATTCCTATCCAAAGAATTTTCTTGAGCCTTGGCTGAGAATAGAGGGATATCCCATCCAGATGCCTGGAGCTTCACTTGGAATTGCTTCGCATGTCGAGGGAAGACGAAATTATTCAGGAAATAGTCAACAACCACGACGTTGAAGCGAACATGTCGCCAGATCTCGGTGAGCTGTACTTCATCATCGAGGTTGATAGAGTTCCAGTCTCTGAGGGAATCGGGGAGGTCTGTTGTCTGGGAGAACCTATCGTAAGCCTGAGTAGGATCGTCGGACTTCAGCACATGCTCGAGCGCCTGGCGGAGGTGAGCAACAGTTAGGCCATCGTAGTAAAAGGCAAGGCAGGTAAAGAGGATTGCGACATCGGGGTGACCCCACTCTGCCTGCTCGCTGGGCGTTCCTTTGGCATGATACGGAACCGCAATGGGATCTCTATCAGGGTGGAGTCCATACTGAACATTCCAGCGTCTCTTTAGAGTCATGAGTAAGATTCGATGAACCAGAAGTCCTCTCAGGAGATAAATGGCGTTTCGGTAAGCCGGCTTGTCGTTGAACATCTTGCTGACCTGTTCCGATGTCTTCTCAGAGATCTTTCCCTCGGAGATGAATTGCTTGATTATGAGACGATCTGACTTTGTACAGTCCGAGGGGAAAATTGAGGTTCGGCCACGGTATATGTCGTCGACAAGTCTTTCGATCAATGCAACTTCCACATCCTTGCGGAGGAAGAAGATAGCCGGAAATCCACCCTTGTCTCTCCGAACAACTTCTATACTTCGAGGGAAAGTCACTTGCAGGTTGTAGAGGTGCCCGTCAACCAGGCTAAGCAGAACCTCAGCTACCTCCCACCGAAGAGGGTGACCATCGACCACCTTCTGCGACCCAGATGGATATATTAGTTGTGTACGAAGCGCAAGAATACTATCGCACTCATCAATTACGTCTCGAGTTCGTCGTAAAAGCCACTAAATTGTGCGCCAAGTCAGCGTCATTTTTCTTTCACTTCACAGGCAAGTTGATCGGGGGCCGATTAATCGCGAGACAGTGGGTGTGGGAGTGGGCTGCTGCCAAGTTTTACTTACATTTTGCACCTTGATCATGTATGTTGCCTCCTGGTTACGCCCATCGGACAGTCGCTGTATTCCTGACAACAGGAAAGATAATAAGTGTTCAGGCAAAGCAATAATAACACCGGATGACTGTTGCATATCCTTGTGTATGTCCAAGAATGCTTTTATCGTAGCTGCATTGGTTGGAGTCTTGCGAGAAAATGGGATGTGTCGTAGCTCTCGACCAACCAGGCCGCCCAATCTAGCATGCAGAAGCTGAGCTGTTTGTAGCTGTTCAAATAGTTAGTATCTGGACTCGGAAATGTTGGAAAGAAGAGAGGGCAAATTCTAAGATCCTGTTTAAAGGAGCGACAGAAATATAACGGAACGCGTCGTACCAGCAGAGGCTTTGGAACAATGACTCGCAAGATATTAGTTCCGTTCGCCAAAACAGCGGCAGTCATAGGAATAATGCAAGCCGTCTTTCCTGCTGTGGTGTCAGCATCAACAAGTTATCGGGATCCGGCTATCATTACCCTGGCCCATGTTCATTTGAAGAACTGAATTCGAGTTGGTAGCGGGAGAGATTGTGGCAAACGCTACGTCCACCTGACCTGGACGGATGAGCACATTACAATCAATCTCCAATAAGAGCCCTAGTGACTGGAATTAACATTTGTTCTAAAGGTGGCCGTTGGAATGTCCGAGGGATTGTCTGGATATAGGGCACGTACAGTCTGGATGCTCCGCGGGGTTCCAATTGGTATGGCCCTCGTTCTGCTCCTCTTCTCGGAGGCGCTGCATGTTTTCCTTGAGAATAGCCTCTTCCAGTCGGTGCAGTCTTTGCAGGGAAGTAATCCTGTCGAAAACGGGCGAGTTAGTAACTTCCTATCCAGGTGGTTTCGGGACAGGCTACAAAGAGGATGGGACAATTGACAGATGTCCAAGAATAAGAAACGTGAAAATGGGCTTCGCCGCTACCTACGATAGAGCGTATCCGATGATGACACTGCGCACTTTATCCGGAAGGGCGAGATTCGACACAGATCGCAGAGTTTCTAGAGTTGACACGGGGTGTGTGGACGGCCATAGATAGCCTTGTTTCAACCAGCAGGCCTTGGCGGATTGGTTATCTACTAGTATTTCTTGGATCTACATAACAGAAAAGTCAGCCATTGCCGCCATAGGAATATCTGTAGAAGAGGTTGAGATATATCTGTGAAATATCCTGAGACATTTGATATAGGAAAGAAACGGGCCCCCACAATACGTACGTGTCGAAGTCTATGCCGGACCAACAATTTTGTTCTGGCAATCGCTACACCGAGCAAATTCTTGTCAACTTTTCCTTGCCGCTGCTTAGGAGCATTCTGATTGTGCTTCTGCAATGCATTCAGACTTCGAGCCAAGTCCTCTCCGTATTGTCGCTCAAAGACGGATTTTGAATGAACGGCGATCTCAATGATTCGGTGGAGCTGTTTCATTTCATCACAGGGCTTTACAGACTCTGCTAAGTATGGCAGCTATGGAAGAGGTTAGCTGGCATCATTCTGACATTTATGAGGTCTAGACTCACCTGAAGTCGGGACTCTACGGGAACCAGAGGCGGGATTTCGATCAAAGGCATATTGAGTTTGGGCACACTCAGTGTCATCTGAAACATTTGCCCCAAATTAGGTACTAATCCATGGTCATAAACTCGAGTTGGATAGACTTCTTGTTCGACAACTTCCACGAATGGCGAAATAGACGCCTCACGCTTGGCACTTTGTGGTGAGTTAGTATGACTTCGCTTCCCAAAGCGCCTACGGATCATAGAGCACTGATCCAAAGAGAGTAGGGATATGCTGACCTGTGTTTGTCCAAGACAATTTGCACCCGGGCAAGGTAATCAGCAAGATCTAGATTCTGGTAGAGACGCAGCCACTCCGGACGAATGACCTCGAGTGCTTGTTGAATATCAACCACTACATGATTGATAAGTCAGCGTAGATTCGTGACATAGGATGATATAATCAAGAGCTGGATTCGATCATGGTTGCCGCTTACAGATAGGTGTATCAAAGCCTGCAACGGTCGGCTCCACACATGGCCATTGTTTGAGAAGAAATTCAGCTAACGTTGTGGCGTCTCTCTCTTGTTGCCGCTTATGAGCTTGCTCAGCTTTGTCGTGTTTCTTGCGTAATTTGCAACCCATAACGATTCCCAAAGTATCTCCACGCTCGTACGGGACCAAGCATCTAAGTCAGAAGAGGTTAGTGATCGATTTCGGAGTATACTAAGGACGATAGAAATCTACACCGATTTCAAGATAATCAGGTCATAGAACTGAAGGCTTCCCTATACGTACGACTTGAATAAATTTGTGGTACTACCAACTCTCGGCGTATAAGTGTTTTTGAATTGGGCGTACATGGGCCACTGCGGTGTGCTGATAGACTTCAGATCCGTAAACACGGCAAAAGCAATCAGGGTGCGGATTGCATCCATGTTTGCATCGGAGCGGAAGGAAATCGTACCGAGCAAGAATATCAGTCGGTACAGATCATCCTTGCTTGACAATAGGCACATATTGGCTAAAGGTCCCCTGTTTTTATAGTTAGTTATTTGTTACATGCCTGTCCGAACAATAATGTCTCGCTGAAAGAATGATTACCAGTCGGATTCCATTTGAACATCGAGAACGTCAGAGAGCAGGGCATGGCTGAAACTTCCATTGAAACCTCGAAAGCTGGGCCAGGCTTGTATCAATCCAGAAAGATCCTTAGTTGTTTCGAAAGATGTAGGCCACGAGAGAATGAGGTTCGTACACTCTATGACATTTTTCCTACCTCCAGTGGCAAGTATGAGATCTCTGGAGCTATATGGTTGCGCAGGAATGCCTTTGGTATCGTCGGCGTCCATGGGGCGTTGGTAGAGCTGTCTTCTCAATCTACTACGGAGAATCAAGTGAGACGACCCAGCGGGATCAAGAGGGGGATAATCAGTCGCATTTGTCTTGAACATCGACAATTGATGAGATATTTTCAAGATACTTCCAACGATTGCTTGATAGAAATCGTTCTGGATAGTGACGGTCAGGGTGTCGTCCCAATGCACTTTTTGCATTACCTTGAGGTCAGAGGGGTAGTAGTCTCTGTGTGGAGTAAGCTTCGAGATCATTGTTAATACATTGTACGAGCCAAAGGATAATGGAGACCAAGGTTGGCAGTAACCGGATCTCAAACAATGCAATGCTTCCTCCGTGCCTATCAATCAGTCAGCAATAGTTCTGATTTTACGAATCTACAGCGCGTGACGAGAATGCTGAAATTTACCTGTTCGGCCAGTAAGAGGATCAGGAATGAAAAAAGACGTGTAAGCATGATACATAGCTTTCAGGTATAGAAGTAGTGGTTCCGCAGCACAGTCGAGACGGCCCAGGGTTTCGTTGACTAGGAGACGCACGTAATCACCATTATTTTGGATGATGATCTTGACGTGTGGACCGGCTCTTTGTTTGGTGATCTGCCCCATTGGCACGAGAACGCTTCTTTGCTGGAGTGGGATCGGTACTATGTATCCTGCCGGGTGTTGAGTCTTCCCAATCTCCTTCAAAACTAACCTTAAAATTCGTCAACTCAATGCAATAGTGAGACTTGAAGTCGCAAATTTTGGGGCCGGACAGACCCTAAGACACTGGAAATATGATAGAGCTTAGGCGGTACTTACTTCGAACTCAATCCATACAATGTCCCACAGTCTTGGTTAAGGTCAATCTCAGAATGCAGCTGTGGGCATTCAAGACGGCTCCTGGCATTTACGTAGAACAGCAAATCAAGGCGGCGTAGATTCACAGTCAATCTACCACCAACAGGCAGTGGCTATGTTCCCACCGAGTCATTAGCCATTGACAAATTCTCTTGCGAATTGACCAAACAGAATACGATATGGATATTCAATGCATACCTGAGTGACCGTTAGGTGTCGACGGTCTTCGAAATATAAGAATTGGTCCGCAATCCTACGTAACATAAACATCAGCAAGTTCCCCTGGGAGCAAAGCTGGTCGCCAGAAGGTCCTGGGGAATTAGGAAACAAATAATGGACTTTTTTAATACTGACAAGGGAAATAGTCTACCACGTGGATCAACAAGAGCCCATTTTCCACGAGTTGCTTGAGATGTTTTAGTATTGAGGTACCAGTTGTTTAACTTTTGCTTCCATGGCGTAGCGGAGGCTCTAATCTCAAGCATGCCGGTCCGAAGGTCAAGCCAGTGAAAAGAATCGTCTACCAATTCTGCGGGAAGGTCGAAATCCTGAGCGTCGCCAAAAATCTCTTTGGGGATATATTCCGACACAGCATCGCCCATCCGCGTCCGCACGATATAGGTGCCATCTCGAATCCCAAGGTGAACCTCGCAGCCATATACGGGGTTTCGAAGCAGCATGTAAGTCATGCCAGGCAGTGGCGATGAGAATGTCTGCAAGTCTTGGTCGCGGAACAGTGTTTGGATCACCGCAGAGTCCTTCCACTCTTGCGGCAGTTTCCCAACTGGCTTTCCCATTACCAACAAGTGACCTTCCAAAAGATTGAAGTGGACGACCTGTGCTTGAGTAAGAATAGAGGATTCGTGTTTAATTTTGACCCACCACTCATCTATTATTCCATTTGTCAGTCAGTATATCACCTTAAAATACCACAAGATTCGGGGCAAGGCGACAAAAAATAGCGTGCTCGCTTTCTGAGTCGTTGCAAAATAAAAGGATTCAACTGACTTGGCTCTGGAAGGAATCGAAAGCTAGCTGGTTTTTGGTCCTGATAACCGCCGGCACCTGGAAAAACACTGGAAAGTGCTTTGATCAGGCTGTCCTGATTTTCATCGACCGAAGACCGCAACAGGTGTCGCAGTTCAGAAGTGGCTTTGATATCTCGAATCAAGGCATGCCGAACGGGTAAAGGCAACGAAGGCGGATCAATTCCCATATTATCTTGGACGACGATCGAACTTTCGAAGAAACACTTGAGGGCAGCCGGGTCGAGCGTTGCTCGTGGATTGAGATATATGCAAAAGGTTCTTCTACATAGCAACGCGGCCAAAAGTGCGTATTTTGAATATCGTCGAACTGTTTCTGCATCTGTGGCTAGTCTGCTTTCGGTCTGTAGTGTAGACATCCAGGCGGTGGTGATAAGACGTGCCTTTTCAAGGAACATGACTGCAGCCTCCATGGACGCGGTCCCAAGTTCGAATAAGCGGAGTCCGATGGTGATGAGTGACTCCATACAATTTGTATCTCTCCAGTTTGTTGAAATAGAATCTATGCGTTGGTCCAGTTGTTCCAGCAATCGATTGCAGAAAGCTGCATCCTCAAAGACACCATGAATTGTGCCCAGAAAACTCCCTTGCTCTTCACCTCCAGCTTGTAAGGCTAGGTAAGAGATCAGTGATGTTGCTCCCTCGGTACTGAAATTAATGTTGGACGATCCAAGCTCAATGAGTAGCTGAAGCCATCGACGAGTTCTTCCAGCAAACAAAGTTTGGAACGAGAGAAATTCGTGGACGTTCAAGCCCTGAGAAAACCAGAGTCAGAAATGCTCTAAAGAGTCCTTGGGATGCAAAGTAAGCGCCCACAATACTTACAGAAGGACATTTTGTCTGACTAGCAATGATCTCATAAGACGAGGGCCCATTAGATGAAGCATCAAACTGTGAGGAGAAGTTGAAAACGGAGAAGGGCGAGTCAGGAGGAACGGTCATCCGGCAACTTTAAGGTCCCTGGTCAGCAAATTCGCGAAGATACTTGTGGGATCCTCCCCTCAGCGAGTAGATGGCCTGCACTTACTGATGCGCAAAGCTTGGTCTCTGCATACTAAGTCCTCCCGTCCAGGATTCTGTCCTAAGATCAGTAAAATATTTCATCAGTTCATCGAGGGGAATTCGGATAATGGCTTCGAATAATACGAGAGTGCGAGAGAAGAAATGGACCTACCAAGGCGTTCATCGTAGTACTGCGGAATTTGTGAGTCAACATACTGCTCTGATTATATGGAGTAGTAGGAGGAAATAGCACTGACCTTGAGTTTCAAGCCGTTAGGTTTGCAGACTTCTTCCAGTCCAATTGGGAAACGACATTTGGAGTAGCTGAATGACCAGGTCAGAATCTGCCGGATAATCTCGTGAATTTTGTCCAAATCAACTAACTTACTCTAGGTTACCAGGAGATTAGTAAACGTTCGTATCCAAGAGTCTCAGGAGTAGCCTTAGGAGAATACACACGGGGCACTGGAAAGAGGAGAATAGCTGCTGCTCGGTCTTACTTACGTGTAATCAGCCACGACTTTGTCATTGATGCGAGACTAAATTTGTCCGCCGAGGGACTGGAAAAGTTCAGTATCATAACCAAACAAAAGTATCTATAAATGACTCTTCAGATCAAGCTTACATAGAGCGCGAGTATTCGTTCAACTCTGAGTACTCCTTCAGCATAACTCGCGGTTTAGAGCCCGGCGTGGGTAAATGCGTCAGTCTAACTTATGTCAGCTGAATTTCCCCTGACGAGGTGGGCACAGAGCCATACGCGAGAGTGCTCAGAATGCGCCAGGTCAAGTCTCGATATAAGCGGATTGCTTTTGGGCATGACAATTCGAAGACTACTACTTTGGCTCTGTTTTGAATTTGAATTAGCAGTATTACTACCTCGGAGACATTAGATACTCACAGGATGGGGTCCGAGGGCAATGGGTACTCGAAGCCTGACATCGAGAATCGCTTGATCGTACGTTCGAGAAAACATTTAGTGCATTGGTGATCATTGTGTACTTTGACCTGTTGTTGCAAGGAGTCAGCGGCCAAAGTCACACATCATGTTCGGAGAATCGGAGATATCAGAAACTGTGAAGAGAATAAAACAAATCGTCTACTCTCATTACCTACCTGGTACTCGTCAACCGTGAAGAGGCACTGGAGAGATGTTGTTAGCTGGTAACTCGTAGCGATACTGAAAGGGATCTTACCGAACTATCAGCTGCTTGCTCAACGAGAGCTTCGAATTCCAATGATTTTCGACACCATTCCTATCCTATCAGTTAGCGGACTGAATTCCATCGTGCCCCTTTTCCCCCAAAGATAACAAGGATGCGCAAGCTATCGACTTGAGTAGGGTGAGCTATAAGGTATCTGACCTGTTCCTTTCGCATACGAAGGGATTCCGCATCTTCTTCGATACGCTTATGTAGGGCCTGCATTTTGTATTTGCTTTCGGACTCGTCGTAGTAACGTTCTGCGAAGCACTGCATAGCGGGGAGGTCAGCATTGGCCATATTGGGAATGTCCCCAGAAATCATGTGACAGTGTAAGGAGTGGAGGTACATACGCCTTTGGCCGGGTCATTGAAAATGGTGCTGTGACTTTTGCAGGCTCCGTGTCGCATTTGAAGATATTGTCTTATTTTCTGGAGACGCAACATATCTTTACGGCGAGCAACATGCAAGACATCCAAAATGTCGACCGGGAATCCTGGACTGTAGTCTTTCAAGAGACTGCACGCCTTGGTAGCCGATGAGTCCATTGCTACCCAAAGATCCATAACATGCAGAATCATAAGACTCTTCTGCTCGGGATTTTGATCGTACGAATCGCCAACTTTTTCAAGGTAGCTACCAATAGTTCTTGCTAGAAGCGAGCAGTGGATTTTGGGGTCGGATTCTGATTTATTCGTATCGTTCAGCTGATTTTCAATGTCCATCTCGGCTTCAGACAATGAAAAATAGCGTTTGACGTAGACCGAGCCAGATTTTGAGACGCGTGCCGAAGATGAGTAATCTCGAGGGAGCCCTTGATGTAAAGTGGTTCTAGATACTGCATACTGTGAATATGAGTTGTTGTAGACAAGCTGTCTCAAGTAGTCACCACTGTTACGAAGAGAGAGGCGTAGGTCAATGTCCAGAGCTCTTTGTGGCAAGGGCATGATCCGACGCTCCATTCGCTTTGTATAACGTTCCCACTTTCATAAATTTTAGTGCCAAGTATTTAAAGAGATGAAGGTGGGGTCATGTTGCCATGTGACGAAGAGTATGTAGGAATCCAGTATGACTAAAAGTTGATGAGGGTACTTACGGCGACGTTGATCTTTTCAGTAGCGGAGTTGACAGAGTGGCGCAATGCCGGACCGAGACCTGAGAAGAATGCGGCATATTGCGTATCTAATGGACTCACGGACCCATCTCTGTCATCTTGAAGCTTCACGAGGCGACGGCAGAGCTTAGCTTTGAGATGGTTGGACAGCTCAAGACTGATATGTGCAACACAATCGTCTAGAAGCTTCGAAAGTACCAGGCACATCATAAACTTGTATTGAGCCCGTCCGATGCCGCTATCTCCTGACTGTGAAAGATATCGATGGATTGAAACTCGAAGCGCTCTGGGTGAGGATGAGTCAGCATTTGAATATCTTGAGATATCGGGAATAGTCGATAATGGTCTATCCAAATACGTACAGCCAGAATGAGGACCGCCGCCATGGCTTTTCCGATCCATTTTCCCAAAGAACGTCATCTCGAACATGTTTACGCAAAAGCGTAGGGAATACCCGACGGCCCCCAATCTCTGCCAGGAGTGACATGAGCATTTGTGTTATCAGGGAGGGATCGACCGTGCCACGAGACTCGTAGGCCGAAGATCCAGCTTTGTTGGCGCGAGCAGCAAACCGTCTAGAGCAATTAGAAAAGTACATGTCACAAAGAGCTTGTTAGTAACTTACTTGATGGACTCGACGCTGGCTTTCTCGAGGAAAGTCGCCAGCTCTTCCTGGAACTTTGGGTCATTGAACGTATCGAGAGGTATTGCAACGGCGTTTCCCTACACACAGATTCAGCATGTCACGAGAAGTCAGGAAGCTGATAGGGAGAGCCAGTATAAGGAGACTTAAAAGGGTTAAAACGTACCGGAAAGTCCCATTGCAGCGCACCCTCAGCGGCGAGCACGTCTTCGGAAACAGGGGAAGCTTCGAATGCCTCAAAGACAATCTCCTCCCCATGCTCATCTTCCTTTTGGCAACGAACTATCAGAGCAGCGTTCTGCTCGGCCACGTGCAAAAGAAGAAAGTCGGTGGGGTTGATTGGCAGCTCTTTGAAGGCGATGAGGAGAGAAGATTTGGCAAGACGGCCACCTGTGTTAACGTGCTTGCAGACCTGAAGCGATCGGCGAAGAGGCTCAAATGCATTATTTGCGAGAATGGGAGATAGTCCGGCAACAGCATCAAGGACTCGCTCGACGAGCGCGCGGTCGATTCGGTCGAGATTCCCTTCTTGTCTGTCGGGCAGCCGTGGTGGAAGGGAGACTGTAAGATAGCAAGGTCAGCACTGACATCCAAAGCTGCAAGAAGAGGTAGCTAGGCCAGCTCGGAGAAAACAAAGAGCATATATGTACCATGGTTAAACACGGCCTCCAGGAAGCAGGCTTCCGGGGACTGCATTGCCATGTTGTTCGGGTTGTAGGGCGCTTCAATGATACATGGTAGGTTGTGGTAGAATGTACATGGAATTAGTCGTTGAAAAGTTGGCTGTAGTTATTGTGAGGAGAAGTGGTCTTGATGACCCCCCTCCCCCCCCCAAAAAAATTAGGAGTGGGACTACGGGTGAAGCAAGCGTCAGCCTCAGTCTTTTTCACCGACTCAGCCGACCGTTCAAGAAGTTGCTAAAAGCTCTGTAAGACGAAAACCGGAAAGATTAAACGGTTCAATTTGTGAACGAGAAGCAGCAGCAGAAGGAAAAAAATAAAGGAATCTTTCAAATTCAGATTCTGTGGCTACCCGTTTCGCAGCCCGACTTACATCACGTGCCACAGTTAAAGAGGTAAACAGCAAGTGCCAGTGGGCTCAACAACTAGCTGGACTAGAATAGCTCTTCAGCAATACCTCCCATCCTTATCACGGAATTAAACAGAGGTATGGGAGCCGTTGATATACAGATTTTGGACTACCTATCTGCCATATCAATCCGGCTCGCTGCAGCCTGAAGGATATCGGCAGCGGGGACGCCAATTACCAAACACCCTGCTCTTTGCTTCAAGAGGAGGTTTCAGAGAGGGATACGGAACGAGAATTTCTGGGATGGAGAGAGATGGAATTATTGACGTAGGTAAAGCTTGACAAGATTACGATCAGAGGTCGTCGTCTCGACATTTTTTCTTGTCCTTGGCTACTACGGTGCCCTTTCTTAGCACCCCCTATGATCCTTACTTGAGCGATATGCGAGGTACCTAAAACAATATAAAAAAGGAGCCCAAGAATGTCGAAAAGGTGAATGCACTTGACCGACAATTCCAAAGTCTTAATCGAGAAGAGATATTAGTATTGAAGCGGGAAAGAATCGAGTTTCAAGAGCTCAAAAACTATCTTGTTGAAACGGGTGGTGCTATATACTTTGCAAACTACCACGTTGATCAGATATTTCGCATTGAACGTCGAGGCAAGAAAGATCGGTTTGACAACAGCCCTTTCCCAGGACAACTAAATACCGCCTTGATCTGCTTTCTGGGGCTGTCTTATATGTGACTCCTTAGCTTAACACGTCGCCGTACCCCATGGGGGTCCCCAGGGCCGCAGCCACCCGCCGACGTTGATAAATACAACAACAACAACAACAACAAAAACAACAACAACAACAACAACAACAACAACAACAACAACAACCACAACGACAACAACGACAACAACAAAAACTGTGGCATAAATCCCGTGCCACAAGCTTCGGCGGTATTCCCTCCTTCTATCATGGCCCATGGTCTCGCAATCTGTGGCCAGGAAACCTCAGGAACCCTCCCCCGCGCTCTCCAACCAAATCCGACACCTACACAATGCATGGATGCCAACAACCAACGAACAAACACCTGAAAATGCATGCCTCACCAGACCTACAAGTGCAACACCCTACGTAAAACTCGTTCCCCCAGTGCCCGCGCCCACATTGCTGGCGGCCAAGCCATTGCTCAGCTTCCTCCCTCCAGGCCCGACGCTCCCCCCACGGATGCCAATCGGACTGCTCATCCTCCTCTCAAACCGATCTTCAAGCGTACCACTCCTGCTCGGCGCCCTCAAGCTCTCCCTCGACCTCATCGTCCCGCTCAGCGACGGTCCCGAGACAGCGTCCAAAAGATCCTCTTCAGCAACAAGCTCATCCCCCTCGAGAATCTCGCCGTCAATATCCTCCTCAACGGTCGGTAGCACAGCCTCCTCCTCCTCGTCGTCGTCTTCCTCACTGTCGCTCCCATCATCCGCCTTGTTGAACCCAGGCATCTCAACCAGGTACCAGATCGGAACGGCTCCAATGACCGAGACGAGAGCGAGCAGGAAGTACGGGGTAACAACATAGCCCTTCTCCAAGCCCCACGTAAACGCTGCACCGCCCATCGCCGGCCCGATGGCTCGCCCCACCGCACTCACTGAGACCGCGATACCGTTCAGCGTACCAAGGATCCGCAGGCTGACAGCGGAATTCGTAAGCAAGATGATGGAGCACGGGAAGGCGAAGATGACTGCAAATGATTTAATGATCAAGACGCCGAAGATGGCCGCCTGCTGCGTAGTAGGGTTCTGGATGAGGGCCGTGTAGGGCGTGAGGAGACAGACGATGGGGAAGGTGACGGCACAGCACTTGAAGCAGTTGAGGACTCCTAGTTTGCGAGCGGTGGGTGGGAAGACGAGGAACTGGATGAAGCAGCCGACGATGCCGTACATGGTGAACAGGGTGCCGATCCGGCTGGATCCGAGGCCAAAACCGCCGGCGAATTTGAAGGGGAGGTGGATATCGGAGGAGTCCGGGCTCTGGCGAGGGGTGTGCAGGAATACGGGGAGGAGTTGGTCGTAGGCGACCGAATGCAGCGCTAGGAAGGTGTAGGCGATCAGGTTGATGACCGACTGACGGGTAAACACTTCGTAGAGGGTTGGACGAGGGGCCGGGGGTTTGTTGTTGGTCTTGAACGAGTTGAAGCGAGACGACTCAGAGCCTGCTGATGACGAAGGTCTGAGGAGAGAGGCGGTGGACTCATCATAGCTTGCTGAGAGGCGGCGGTAAGGCTTGGGGGCTCGACGGAGGCAGAGTACTGCTCTGATGGACGCGTTGACTTTCTTTCCCAAGGCCCGTCCGTAATCCTTCTGGTCACGTTTTGTTTCGAGGGTTTCCTAGCAGAGTTAGGGGGGATGTTGTGATTTGATTCGGGAGTGCTCACCTTCAGATACAAAATGCCAGTGACGATTCCAATCATGAATAGACAGCTCGCGACCAAGTTTGGCAGGGCAAAGGGGAACTTGGTCAGGAATCGGTTGTTCCCAAACAGGCCCGGGAAGTTCTTGGCGGGGTTAGCAAAGAAACCCCCAAATGATGGACCGAAGATCGAGCCGATAGTCCAGACGAGAGGCATAATCGAGAATGCTCTCGGTTGCAGTTCCTTTTCGGGAACCATCTCTGCCACCATGGTGCGGATAATGCCAACTGACACAGCTTAGCCGTGTCTCGCTTGGTAAAGGAAGGGTTAGGGGGCCTGACCATTTCCATTGCATGCACCTGCAAACGACCTTGCAACGATGGCCATCGGTAAGCTGGTCGACATTCCCCAGAATAGGACCGATATCATGGTCATCGTTAGTCCAATCAGAATTATCCGTTTGCGACCGAATCTATCAGAAGCTCGTCCCCAGATCACAGCCGTGGTACATTGCGAGAGGGAGAATGCCGCGGATGTCATTCCAGCCCACCAAGCAACTTCTGACTTAGGTACGCCGAAGCTCTCTATCATCTCGGGCTATGTGCATGTTAGCGAACGAGAGAGGTTGGGGGGGGGGGGGGTGGATACGTACCAGGTAGGGAAAGACAGAGGTCAGAGCAACCGGCTCTGCAAATCTACATATCGCTATAGGATCATCAGTGGCATATTTGTGCGGCGATACGAGAAGCAGCATCGGGGAGGTTCAAGGAGCTCTGCTTGTTTTGATCCGGAAACTTCACGTCAAGACATGATCGGAAAGTTGACTGAATTATTGGCACGCGACGGATTGGCTTCAAATTAACTGTCCGAACGATGCATTCATTACAAGGTAACAAGCTCGTCCACAACGTCGTTTACAACTTCTGGCAAGACTTGCACAGCTCTTGTATGTCAAGTCGCCCCCCAGCCAATTTTGCCTCCCCAACTTCACGGCCCGTCGCTGGAGCAAATTTGGCAGCAAATGACTCGTTTGGACTTCGAGAGACAACAGAAAGGATAGGAGACGTACCAAGAATTGCGAGTTGCTTCGAGGGCAGCTTCGGCGGCCCAGGTGCCCTTCTTCCCACCATATCAACGGCTGTGATGGAAGCCTCAATTGACTGTTCCCTTGGCAAATCGAGTACCGAGTGTATGAAGCCGCGAGGATTATATACCGAACGAAAAGAAGTCTTTGGTTCTCAAGAAAGAAAGATGCAAGGAAAGAAGAGTGGAATTTGAAGAAGACGCTGTTGGCTTTGGCTTGGTAAGACGGGAGCTAGTGACGGCTATGCCTCTTTTGCCTCTTCTCCTTTCTACATGGATAAGACGGCCACTGGTTCCGAAGGCTCGCTTAAATTGCCTCTCGCGGCTGGTATAACCCGGCGGTGGGAGCACAGGATGGTGATTCGCTGAGAGGAGGTCAGAGGAGGTCAGAGGGTGCCGTTGTGGCGGTCGCCGGCTACATCTGTCTGCTGAGCCTCTATACCTGCTGTCAATCGCTAGCCAGATTCGGTGGCGTTGCGGCGACGTCGAGGTCAGGAATCTGGTGACGGTAATGGGATGAGATGTGATTCGACGTGATTTGATGTGAAATAAGTCTACGGATAAACAATTATCCGGAGCTCACAGCCGTACATCACGTTACCCAAATCACAAGGTTGCCCGCATTATGACGTCTTCCCGAGCTTCCAGCCCTCGCTTTCCATACACTGTACTACTGGTACGCTTCACTGTGCTACACCCACATTTATTAGCCTCCATAGGAAGGTCAATGCCGACCTAAAGCTTTATCTAGACTTGAGCTGTATGGCGCTACCCTAGATAAGATAAGTTCGATGTTTGGATGAGCTGCATCCTCCTGCTGTCAACCTTTGATACCAAGCCGGGACTTGGATAGCTTCACCTGTTTCTCTCACTCTCTCCCCCTCCTCCCCCTCTCCCCCCTCTCCCCCCCTCTCCCCCCCTTCCTCTCTCTCTCTCCATCAATTGCCCACTCGTTGCGATAGCTTCAACTGGAAGTCCCCACTCACGCAAGCATGGGCAGACCAAGCATTAACCGGAACATGGATGAACGAACGCCCCTCTTCGCCAACATCCGTATTACTCCTCCACGAAAACGACAAACCCATGGCGTTGTCCGGAGGTTCTGTAGAATTGCCCTCGGATCTTCTCTCATCGCCCTCCTCGTCGTCTACCTCCTCCCAGTAGCTTTCCTGCGAGACAGACCTCGCCGACACCACCACGTCCCCAACGAGTACCAGAGCTCAGTCACATACAAGGAGCTGCAGCAGATACTGCTAGAAACCCCCAAGGAGGAAAAGGCACAAGAATGGAGCAAGTACTACACTTCTGGTCCCCATCTGGCGGGCAAGAACTACAGTCAGGTTACGTGGACCCAGGAAAAGTGGGAGGAGTTTGGCATCAAGGCGGACATTGTTGCGTATGATGTATATATCAACTATCCTCTCGGCCACCGACTCGCACTGTACGAGAATAAGAAGGTGAAGAGCAAAGATGCAGATGCTTGGAAGGCCAAATTCGAGGCTAGACTGGAAGAGGACGTGCTGGAAGAGGATCCCACGACTGGTCTCGAGAATCGAATCCCGACCTTCCATGGATATTCCGCCAGTGGTAACGTCACAGCTCCGTATGTTTACGTCAACTACGGAACATATCAAGATTTTGAGGATCTGGTGAAAGCCAATATCAGCCTTGCAGGGAAGATTGCGATTGCGAGATATGGAGGTATCTTCCGTGGTCTCAAAGTCAAGCGTGCTCAAGATCTGGGAATGGTGAGTGTAACCCTAGCCGAGACTCGATCTCTATTTGGAATTCGGACTCGCAAGGGTCCCTGGACGAGAAGTCTTGCGGCATAGAATTGGAACATGCTAAGTCATCCTAGATCGGCACGGTGATATTCACGGACCCTGGCGACGACGGAGACATTACGGATGAGAATGGGGTCGATCTGTACCCTAACGGTCCTGGTAGAAATCCAAGCAGTGTACAGAGGGGGAGCACCCAGTTCTTGAGTGTTGCCCCTGGTGACCCGTAAGTTGATCAAGTGAGTGGTGTTGCTCTTTCTGACTTCAAGTAGTACGACTCCTGGCTACCCATCAAAGGTTAGCTCCAGCAATCGATTGTGACATCCATATATCGGTATCAGTACTGACCTGACAGCCCGGCGTACCACGTGCACCTGTTGATGGTGCTATCCCGTCTATCCCTTCAATCCCAATCTCATACGTAGATGCCATTCCTATCCTCACGGCCTTGAATGGCCATGGCCCGTCATCCAAGGATTTCAACAAGTATTGGTATGCCAAATTGTTCCCATGGTCTCACTTGTATCCTGTGTCTGTGCTGACTTCGAATAGGCGAAGGAACGAGGGCCTCGGCTATAAAGGGGTGGAGTACAACATCGGCCCATCTCCGGATGACCTTGTTCTCAATCTCGTCAACGAGCAAGAATATGTGACCACCCCCTTGTGGAACGTAATTGGTGTCATCAACGGCACTCTATCAGATGAAGTTATTGTTATCGGCAACCATCGGGATGCTTGGATTGCTGGTGGGGCTGCAGACCCAAACAGTGGAAGCGCTGCTCTTAATGAGGTAAGACATGGCGCTATCTTATCCCTTCAGTATTTTTGGCCGTCAAAACCGTGGCTCTCCTTTCATACTTGAATCTGCATCTGACTCTGTCTCTAGGTCGTCAGATCCTTTGGTGTCGCTCTCGCCAAGGGCTGGAAGCCATTGCGTACTATCGTCTTTGCGAGCTGGGATGGAGAAGAGTATGGCTTGATCGGAAGCACCGAATGGGTCGAGGAGTATCTCCCGTGGCTCAACCACGCCAATGTCGCCTATGTCAACGTCGATGTTGCTACATCAGGAAGTCACTTCAAAGCTGCTGCCTCACCACTCCTCAACAACGTGCTGTACGAAGTCACAGCTCTCGTACAGTCACCCAATCAGACAGTCCCTGGGCAAACCGTCGCCGACGTCTGGGGAGGTCATATTGATACTATGGGCTCTGGATCCGATTTTACTGCATTCCAAGATTTTGCAGGCATCCCATCCGTCGATTTTGGTTTCGCGCAAGCCGCCGGCAGCCAGGACCCTATTTACCAATACCATTCGAATTACGATTCCTACTACTGGATGAACACCTACGGGGATCCGGGCTTCCACTACCACATCGCAGCCACCAAGATCTGGTCCCTCTTCACCGCGCGCCTCGCCGAGTCGCCTGTCATCCCTCTCAACGCCACCGACTATGCTATCGCCCTCGATGGCTACATCAGCAAGGTCGAATCCAAGTTGGACGCTGCCATCATGGGCATCCAGAGCGAGGAGGAGGAGTTCGAAGCCCGGGCTCGGCCTACACCCGCCGTGCCCAAGGGTGACTTGACTGCTCTGGAGCATTCTTTCAAGAAATTGCACGAAGCGGCCCTTGCACTGACGGAAGTCGCTCAAGCCCACGACGCTTGGGCCGCTGAACTCGCCGTAGAAGCTGGTGACGACATCCCGTGGTGGAAGTGGTACAGCAAACTCAAGTTGTACTACCAGATCAGACGGGTGAACGACAAATACAAGTACATGGAGCGACAATTTTTGCATGAGGAGGGCCTGGACGGACGTCCGTGGTTCAAGCATGTCGTTTTTGCGCCAGGCTTGTGGACGGGATATGCGGGCGCTGTGTTCCCGGGACTGGTAGAGAGTATCGATGACAAGGATTATGAGAACGCTGAGAAGTGGGTTGGCATAATCGAGGGAATTCTCTGGAAGGCTCACGGGAGCTTGAAGTGAAATTCAGATCTGTGACGAGAGGCTACTGGATCATGTCCTTGCAGGTGGCTTATAAATTTGAGATTACAATATACCAAGACCGTTCGTAGACTCATGATCAGGTAGGCAGGAGCGGACAGCAACTTGAGCATCTTAAACATTGACTGCTCCTCCGCACGAGATCGGGTTCTAAAAGCCCACCATATTCCGAAAGGTAGAGACAAATAGCTCAGCACTAATCAGGCAGCAGCGAAATCTTGAAAAAACAAATGAAAAAAAAAAAAAAAAAAAAAAACCCCCCGGAAAACTCATACCCCCTACAGCATTTCTGCAGTCCCTCTCTCTCTTACCTCCCCGTCCGAGATCACCGAGCTATCATTTAAGAATGCCTACCTCCGATAACGATCCGATCTGACTGTGATGGGATGGGATCTATGCATCCTAATCGGGCAGGTACGTACATATGTACGTGTCACGTGATTAAAGAACGAAATAGGGTACATACCACTTCCGACATCCGCTTGCAGGTGAGGGGGTGTGCTCTGTGGTGCTGTATAATTTTTTTCTCGCCTTTTCTTTTTTTGGGGGGGGGCTATTATTTTTATAGGATGGAGGCGGTGGTTGTGGTTGGGCTAAGAGGGAGTTATTTGCTCTTTGGAGCAGGCGCTCGGGGGAAGGGGGTATTATGAGGACGTTGAAAGAGAGTGGTATATATCTTTAGCAATCTAGCTCTTTCTCCCTCTCTCTCTATCTCGCTGTTGAAGGCCGTTGCGGTAGATATTAACTTCTCTTGGGAGTAGGGTTCGGTGTTCAGGTCACTGGCAGCATTCGTGGCTTACGCTTTGGACACCTGCTCAAGATCAGAGAACTTATTTTGATCTATTGAGAAAAGCTGTTTGGAAAAGGGCAGTGTTGCGTTGGCTCCGCGTTCTGATCCCCAGCATAGAACCTCAATCGAGAATATGCAGCTTCGTCTCTAATCTGATCACCCGAGTCACGCCCTGACTCCCCCCAGTGCCCACACGGCCAGCTGCTGCTTAGTAGAGACTGGTGACTACCAGGCTTCTCAGTCAATGCTGATACTGAATTTGCTCCCGGAGAAGAAAAGACATACCGGTCGATCATGCCTGCCCTCTTGCAGACGAAATTAGCCTGCTCGTGCGAGTGATCGTGGTATGTGCAGACATCTCTATCCCAAGGCTGTACCGCCCAGACGTCTCTGTCGCAGGCCTGTACCCCTAGACATCTCTCCCGCATCTGCGCGCACGACTCCTTCATGGCGTCCTTGAAGAACTCGGCCAAGACGGGATTGGCCAGGTCGAGATTGTCAAAGGCTGGGAGGCCAAGGTTGAGGACGGCGAGGTCGACGATCAGGCGCTTGAGGCACGAGTGCGGCTGGGAGGCCTGGTACAGGTCGTGGAGGTCTTGGTCGGTGTGGATCGGGAAGGCGCTCTGGATGGAGAGACACTCGTTGGCCTTGATGAGGAGCTGGTCGATGGCGTCGTTTCGGAAGTTGGGGGCTTGCAGGACTTCTCCGAGGGCGAAGCATTGGCAGAGCTGCTTCCACTGTTGGACGCGGGGGACCGGTCAGTACGTAGTTTGCTCTTGTAGGGTGTGGAGATGAGGATGGGAGGCTTGCGGATAGGTGGTATGAGTAGAGATTAGGCAATAGACCGTGGGAGTCACTCACCTGAGCATGGTAATGCGCCTTGAGATCATTGAGCGTCCGGGCAGGGACCGCGACCAGCTCGGGGCGTGTCTTGACCTCACCGATCACCAGCCAGTTCAGAAAGATCGTGAAGAGTACCGGGTCCTCCTTTTCGAGAACGACCGACTGCTCGTTGCGGGCGACCTCGCAATAGAAGAGCGCGGACTGGGCGCAGAGCTGCTCCTTGTTCACGCTGAACTCGACCTTGTCGGCACCGACGACGATGATCAATTTCATAGGGATACCGGCGCTGTAATCGCTTCAAGTCAGCTTTTGGTGAGTGTTGGGAGACGATGGACCTCCGTACCTATCCATGTAGGTATTCTTCATCATTGCGATGCTGGCGAGCCTCGAGGGTTTGGTTGGTGTGGTTGGTGTGGTGTTCCACATTTTCGTGGAGAAGTGGGGAGGCTCTATGGATGGGGGGTTGGAGCAAGATCGAGTTGTTTCGATGAGGTTGTGGTTTTCGAGTTTGCGACCGATGAGTTGTTGCTAAAAGGAAGGGGAGGTAGTCACTACTATCGTGGTAGGATCCGGAGCGAATTTTTCGCTAGGACAAAGCATCCATTCAAGACTGAGCGAGGAGTGAGTTTTCTCTTTGCTTGAATATTCTATTCAAGAGCAGCGAACTGACCTGGAACCATCTGGCTGCAATTCCTTTACATGATTTGTTCTAGGCAGAGTCTGGCACGGCAGTCTTCGCTTCAATTATTTCGGCAATAAATATGCACAATGTCACAAAGAGCATCATCTACAATAGTCGTCTGTATAGCTTATATTTGTTTCTTTCCAAGTCAGAGAAAGTCTAGGTCTGTGTACTTGTAAGTGACTATGTTTGAGGAGGCGAAGCTTTTAGCGTGTTCCTATTATGTGTTTTTCTTTGCATATCCCAAGTGTCTCTGATTGTAAGTGTAAGTAAAAGCTGGTTTGGTTTCGGGGTTATTGATATCGCGAGATACTACTGCTTCAGTGGCAGTTCAAGATCCCTACATCGAGTTTCGAACTAGCTTGCTACTTTAATGCGGACTTCAAGTCCGCACCCATACCGAAAGTTTCCTGCGGGTCTTCAGCGTCGGCGATAACGGCTACACATGGATCAGGGAGATCGTAAACGAAGGCAAGACTCGTCCTCTTTCTCATATGCTCAGGCTACTGAGCTGTACAGGGATCGCAAGGGATACGACCCGTCGTGACAGCGCCACACATCGGGAGACATGCGAGGAGAAAAAGGTTCAAGCTATTTCCAAGGCAAAACTCCACGAAAGCGGTTATCAAAAGCGTAAACGCAAGCACTCTGAAGTTAGAGCTGAGGACTCCAAAGGCGCTATGGTTGGTGGCAGGTCAGAACGTCGCCGGCCAGATTGTACTCCACCTCTCGGAAAGGCAAGGAGGTCCTCCAGCAACGCCTATCCAACCTACCCGAATCCGCTATATGCGAGCGCTGCTGCCGTTTCCAGAAGTTCCCGTGCTAGGCCTTCCGTACTGACTCCGAAAGCTGGCCGACCACGCCTATGCCGCCGGCCTTGGGTTTCTGGCTACACAAGAAGATAAGACGGCTTTATTTTATATTGTTATTAATAGATTTAATCAAATCAGAAAGTATAAGAGGTTGGCTTTCGCTTACTAGTATGAGTAAGCCCCGCAAATTTTTGGAAAGGCTAGAAGAGTATTTAGAAGCGGGGACGATTTCAGCTCTGATCTTATGCATCTAGTTCTGTTAGATTAGCAGATTCAGGCTTATTGGTTCAATCCACTATTTATGCGAAGATGGAAGCAATAAACTCTGGCTAATGCGAATTTTTTTTCGAAGTGTTGACCCTTAGTTTTGGTGCAAAAAGGGGGGTTTATGCATTATAACCTCGTTAGCACTGTAGTAGTCGGACGTAGATATCACCAGCTTTACAAGCCTAGCATGAGTTGAACTGCAATTTCTAAATTCTCACTCAAGCCTGCAAAGGTCAATGTTGAAGTAGTCTACTATGACGCTAACGTGCTTCAAAGCACGGTTCGGAGATGCGAAATTCAAAAGATCTGATGTCATTGGATCTGGTCCAGCAATAGCGTGGCAAAGCTACACAATGATTCAATCCAGATACTTTCTAATTTGCAATTGAACATGTGACCTCGCAATGACAGTTATCGCAAACTTTTCAGCACCTGCTCGAATGCTTCAGGGACTGTGATAGGTAATCGAGAGAGAAGTACTGAAGCGAAGAGAAGTGCTTAAGCGAACCACCAGTTCGCTTGATAGGATGTCCAACACCGCACTGGCAACAATGCATGAGAGATCCACTTTTGAATGAAATTTACTTTGTTGCATGTCGCACCTCCATATTAATTGGTCAGGAGGATCCAGTGACCTCGAGACACGCCTCCAAGAAAGTATCGTGACTCCACAGGAGGCTTATATCCCGGTGGAGCCAAAGACGCACATCATGATCCTTGGACCAAAAAACAAAAACAAAAACAAAAAAAAATCCTCCCATGACTTCGTCAAGGAGGGAAGGGAAGAGCCAGCAACCAGCGCTTCAGCTCAACGTCCAGATCCACAGACCAGAAGATTACACTTTCTCGCTATTCTCGGCCACCCCTCCAAGTGGCCTCCACATGTTGTACGACGTCGAAATCTCCTTCGGCCCTCCCCACTTTGACAAGTCGATATCCAAAGTGTTAATGACTTGCCATCCGCACTTCTCATAGAGACCCTTGCCCTCAGGACTCGCGTCAATGTAGGCCTCCAACCCTTTCTCATCCGCGTACTTCAGCCCCCAATCACATAGCTTCTTCCCTATTCCCATCCTTTGGAACTTTGGATCAACCGCCAGGAAATGCATGTAAATAAACTTCTTCCCCTTCATCTTCTCGTTCATAACCTTCGCCAGCCCGTCAAAGAACATCTTACACAGGCTCGGCTGGCCAGTCTCGAGAAACTCGGTGGGAAAGGGATAGTGGTAGTCGGTGGTCGAGAAGAAGTTCCATTTGGCGAAGCCGATGATTTGGCCAGAGGGGAGCGATGCCTTCATGAAGCGCGCTTCTGGGTCTGACTTCCAGCTCCCGAGGAGGTACTTCGCTAAGCCGGCGAGGTCGGTGTTGGGACCCAGCTTCAGTTGCGCGAAGGCGGAGGATTTGAAGGCGGAGTCTTTGACGGTAGCGAGAGCGAGAAAGTCATCTTCAGAGGAGACGAGGGAGAGGGTATATTCGGGTGGGGAGCTCATCGTCGCAGGCGCTGGGCTGGTTTATAGGTTGTACCTGAGAGCCAGCGCGGGCAAGTAGCCGAGGCAATGATACAACCAACTTGTTGCAGTGAATCTGGAACGAGAGAAGAGAAGGAGCGCGTAACGTAAGAAAACTGCGAGAATTAAAGAAAGAATATATAAACCATACTCCGTACAACGCGTTAGGATTAGGACAGTATCAAAAAACCAGCAAGCATGGATAAGGGTAGCTGCGCCATCCTGGGTTGTATAAGTTGTATTATATTGCAGCTTCCCTTCTCGTCCATACATAGGCCAGCTATCTTGGGCAGGCATAGTGATAAGTGCTAGAAGAGATTCTTCGATTTATGCGTTGTGCGATACAAGATTCAATTAAATTAAGAATTAAGAAGCCCAGCCGATGGTTTTGTAGAAATCTTGAGGTTATCTCCGATCCAGATCCGATCGGCTCAACATCGGCTCGGGCACCCCGGTCGGCATCGTCGGAAATACATTTTCCCGAAGATTGACGGTCGAAATAAAGAGTAAAATCCTTTCGAGGCACAATCACATCAGAACGGCGCCAGATCTGAGCCACTCGGCTGAGCCACTACTCGGCAGACTGACACTCACGGACAATACAGGCCAAGAAGTCGGGAACATTGCCGGATTCTGGTCGCACGGCAGCTCCTTCTGAACATCCAGTTCATGTCGACTTTATCAATAAACTGGTGCCTAATGTCTCGACCTGAGTACAATCTACCCACCCAGTCCGCCCTCGTACAAGAGCGCAAGAGATGATACGCAACCTGATACTTCGTCTGAGGGGACACAATCCTACAGGATCTGGACAATAACAGTGGAGGAGTCAGGCCTCACCCGCGCCCTCTATCTTTTTTCTCCGCCTCGGGGTACTTGGGAATAGCAACCAGAAACTGATATTGGTCAAGGATGGCCTCGAGTGACGACCAGATAGCCGACGCGGAGAAAGGACGCTCAACTGTTACCCCCCTATCACCAAATTCAATCGAAAGAGAACAAGGATCGTCGATAGAGCTAGACCCAACTCTGTACCTCGACGAACCGAAATCCAGCCACAAATTTCTGCAGTGGACCCAGCGAGTCGAGCATCTCCTTGGCCTCGAAGCCCGCGGCATACATCGTGTGAAAACGAATGAGCAGACGGCAAAGACCACGCTGGGATTCTGGCAGATTGTCATACTGTGGCTCTCCATAAACACTGCCCCTCAGAACATAATACTAGGAAGCATTGGCCGAGGAGTCTATGAGCTGGGTTTCGTAGATGCGACGCTCTGCGCCGTATTTGGCGGTATCTTGGGATGTGTGCCTACAGCTTACACAGCTGGGTGGGGACCCTGGTCTGGAAATCGCACGATGGTACGTGTTGATGCAGTAATGCAAAAGACTTCTCTGACGAGACTGAGTCTAGATCGGTGCGAGATTCTCCATGGGCTGGTGGCCTGTGAAGATCTGTGTTCTGCTCAATTTGGTCATCTTGATTGGATACGCAATGATAGACGCCGTCATCGCAGGCCAGATGCTTTCTGCCGTTTCTCCTCACGGCAGTCTCACTGTCGAAGTGGGAATCGTAGTCACAGCAGTCATTACTTGGGCGGTAACGACGTTTGGAATCAAAATATTCCACCATTTTGAAAGGTGGGACTGGAGGAAATCTGTAGAGGGGCCTGCTGACACGGTCCAGATATGCGTTCATCCCTCAAATTTTGGCTCTTCTGGCCCTAGCTGGGACTGCAGGGCCAAAATTTGACACTTCTTCCCCATCTGCCGTAACAGGAGCAACTTTGTCGGGAAATCGTCTTACTTTCTTCTCCATCTGCCTCAGCGCAGCTGTTACCTATGCGCCTGGAGCGGCCGACTTTTTGGTCTACTGCGATCCCAAAATCGCAACACGCTGGAAGGTATTTGCCGCCACCCTCTTCGGCTTGTCCCTCTCGTTTGCTTTTACCTTCACCCTCGGGGCCGGGTTAGCCTCTGGCCTCGAGAACGATTCGACCTGGGAAGCAGCAGGCTCCGGATCCGGCGCCCTAGTCGTCGCTGGCTACAACGGCCTCGGGGGCTTCGGGAAGTTCTGTGCGGTTCTGTCAGCTCTCGGACTTATTGCCAACATGGTACCGCCGATCTATATCTCTGGCATCAATTTCCAGATCCTGGGCAGATGGTTTGCTATTGTTCCTCGATTTTTATGGACTACATTCGCTTGTGCCGTCTCTGCGGTCTGTGCACTCGCTGGAAAAGATAGCTTGTCCGCGATCTTTACGAATTTTCTTGCCCTCATGGGCTACTGTGAGATTATCGATTCCCTCCATTCTGTTCGTGCTGATAGCGTGGACAGGGGTCGTGATTTGGATTGCAATCACACTCGAAGAGGAGTTTATCTTCCGCCGCAGAGGGCCAGGCTTCATCTGGAGCGACTGGAGCAGGCAAGAGAAGCTGCCAATCGGTATTGCTGCTCTCGTCTCGTTCTGCGTTGGCTGGGTAGGCTCTGTGCTTTGTATGGCACAGTTCTACTTTATTGGCCCAATTGCCGCGCTGGTTGGAGAGTATGGTGCCGACATGGGCAATTATGTCGGGTTCGCCTGGGCAATCATGGTATATCCGCCGCTGAGATACTGGGAGTTAAAGATGTTCGGGAGATGATGACACGCAGAAGGTTCGCCTGCTGGAGACGGGTCTACTTCGCATGGCTCTTCGATCAGGGCCTTTGATTCGTAGAGGACACCTGCTATGTCATGTAGTAGAGGCAGTAATGTTGACCAGAATAAAGCTTATTGAGATTGAAATTTCGGGCGAGGAAAAACATCATCATATTCTAGTTTTACTCGTGGGACGATTGAGCAGCTAATGAAGGGATCTACCGCTGAGTTAACTCAACACGCGTAAAGACTGAATTAAACTCACAGTTAGTTAAGTGAGTTAATTTCGACTCAGTTTACTTTGAGAACAACATTTCGCACGTTCAGTCAACTTGCTGGGTTATCTTGGCTCAAATTGAAATAAAACGCTTTAGCTTGCGCTGAAAAAGATAGAAGGGGTGGTATCAAATACGAAGCAGGCATTTCTGTATAATATATGTCTTCGACGACAATAATAATATAACATGATCAGTGTAGTACCAGATCAAAGGTGATCTATAGCTATAACGAGATATATTCAACAATTATTGAGGTTCGAGGTTTCCGTACGAAATCATACGGAGCAAGCGTATTATTATCAAAGCGCAACATCTAAATTTAAATTAAGGGCCAGACCACGGAATTAGCTTTGAGTTAGACGCAGAGTAAACCAAATAAAGTATGCGCAAGATTTGATGACACATACTCCATAGTTATAAGTACTACTAGATACGCAGGTCGGCAGATCAGTCAGTGATCGTTAACTCTTGAAACCTTCCACCTTACTGACTAAACTCATGGCTATGGCGCTGATCCTCTCTAACTCAGTGAGTTAACTAGGCTTTCAAGATTCCTGTGATGGCGATACCACGTACTACTACCTAATTTCCAACTGCCATGCCTTATCACGCACCTTCTTGGCTTCCTACGGACAATGTGTTGCCTTCAAGACATCAGCTAAGTAAACGAGCTCCTGAATCCGTTTAACCGAAACGCTTTGAAGACTCCTCTTCTCTTCTTAGGGGTCGACGCGTGATCTGAGACCTAGGCGTCGATCATCAAAACTCCGTAGAACCCCCTACTCCAAACCTTCTTTGGAATACATACATATTTCAAACCATGAGCAATGGCGCGATTCTGCGAGGCTGGCCAAAATGCCATGGCTCGATTTTACCGCCGACGAATTCTGCGCCTACTGAGCGTCCTCCTCATCTTGCTGGTCCTCCTATATGTCCTGGTGGCATACGAACCGGTTCAACTACCCCTGATAAACCATGCCTCGAAGAAGATCCAATACGACACATATCCCACTTACGAGTACACCTCGGTCTATCGGCAGACAGCGGACCTGGCATTCGAAAACGCTCTCGATGAACGCCTGCGTGAGCTTCAACGCGAGACTCTCGCCCAACTCCCGCCCGAGCAGCAAAACCTCGCAACGAACCTCACCATATGGCAGGTTACAACCGCGGAGGACGCAGAAGGTCTGAAGCAGTGGACGGAGCAGTGGAAGAACAACAACCAGGACTGGTATTACAGTCTGATCACGTCGCCGCCGGCAGAGCTGTACAGCCACTTCGAAAGCATACCTGAGATTGCCGAAACGAACGACGTGTCGCAGCGGGTGAGGGATGATCTGACACGGTATCTGCTGCTGTGGTGGCACGGCGGGCTCTACACGGAGGTCGATACGTGGGACCGGATGCCAATGCGGGATTGCCCGCCGGTGGTGGACGTCCTGCGAGGCCAGCAGCACGTCAGCTTGATGGTTGGTATCGAGAAGGATGAGCCGTACCTCAGTGCCGAGCAGCTGCGGAACTGGCATTGGACCAGGAGCTTCGGATTCGGACTGCAAACGGTGTGGGCGCCGATGAAGTTCGATCCGATTCTGAGGACGGCAATCGTGCGGACTATCAGCCATGCCAGGACGCAGAACTCGAGGGCGAAAGAGTGGTGGCGGGGGTCGGTGGGAAAGTACATGGCGAAGACGGATGACTCCGGGGAGGTATCTGGCAAGGGGATGTTCACGGATCTTGTGCTGGAGGTGCTCAGTGAGAATCTCAAAGAAGATCACAAGATAAGAGATAGAGCCGCTGGGCTCGAGAGGAGGGTTACGTGGAAGAAGTTTCGTGCTTTGAAAGAGCCGGTCTGGTTGGACCAGAGACAGCTGAAGGAAGGTAAGGAGAAAGACATGAGGGGCCTGGCGGTCCTGCCGGTCACTTACTGGGCGAATGGACAAAGTCACAGTAACTCTGGGGCCTACGATCAGCTCAACGCGTGTGTAAACTGGGTCCCTGGCTACAGGCCAAAATAGGATCGAGGAGAGAAGGCATTTGGATGGTTGTTTTGATACCCCAGTTTGAACTTCACCAAGCAAAAAACTTCCATATTCAGTTCAGTCATTCCATATTGAATTTGCTATGGAAAAGCACATCATGTCCAGAGAAAGCTAATAGGCCACCATGCTGCTGTATCAAACGCTTCGAGTATGCGTTGACAGGTGCTTTCGAAATTGTAGAACAGGCAACCACCACTCTCACCATCACTTCCGCCATCACTCTCACCACCACCTTCACCACCACCTTCACCAGATATCCTAGACACATACAAAATGCGTCTTGACCTCCTCTCTTTAGCCTTTAGCAGATCCTGAATCAAATCGACTTCCAGCTGGCAATGGCAAAAGCAAGGTGTAAAAAAGAAAAAACAGGCTGGAAAGAGTACCAGGCTACTCACTACCAGCAGATTCAATCATGCATAGCAGTCTTCAAATCCAGATGGTGAGTGCAAGGGTCCTTTGAAAAGGTCGTCTGCAAGCCCTTCCAAACCACGGGCAGATGCGAATGATAGCCATCACCCCCTTTCAACGTCGAAGCTTTCTGGTCCAGGTCCTCCTTCACCTTGATCGCCGAGGCAACGTCAGCAAAGACCACCGTCGCGTTCCCACCGTTGTACAGCCAGACCAGCTGCACGTTCTCCTCTCCGGCGACCTTGTTACACAGCTCCTTGAGATGGCGCTCTCCAAAGATGAAGAAGAACTTGCCCTTGACGATCGTGAGGCGGCGAGTGGCAAACATAGGGGCGCCCATGGCTTTGATGCTCTCATCCGCTGGCAGGGGATCGCCGCGGACGACTTCGACGATGAAGCGGAAGCGCTCGGGGCGGCTCTCTCTGCGCTCCTTCTGCATGGCGTGGAAGAAGACGTCGGCGTCGGTGGCGTACTGGAAGACGATGCCGCAGAAGCGGGTGTTGCTGTCCTGGTCGGAGCCGAACTGGATCTTGGCCAGCGGGCCTTCGCACACGGCGTTCGAGACGTCAAGCAAGGTCAGGTGCTGGGGCAGGTTGAGCAGGAAGATCACGCGCATCTGGTCGCAGAGAGGCTCCTCGCTCGTGTCGACCACCTGTGGGATGCGACCGATGGGATTGAGGCGGCGTGTGGGTTGAGATGTCTTGCGCTGCTGGGGATGCAAGTCGATGATGGTCGTCTTGGGGTCGGAAGAGCTGGCAATGTTGGCCCAGGAGGAAGGCTTGGCTGGCTGAGCAGGGTCGACGACGGTTGGAGTTGATGTGGTCTGAGCCGATGCGGTCTGAGTCGATTCGGTCTGAGTCCATGCGGTCTGGGTCGATGCGGTCTTAGTTGATGCGGTCTGAGTTGATGCGTTCTTAGTTGATGGTCCGACAAAAGGGGTTGAGGCCTGTCCCTTCTCTGCGAGGGCAACTGCTGGCTGCTGTAGCTTTCGTGCCGCGCTGTTCTGAACCTTTGGGATGGCCGGCAACGAATTCTTGACTTGCGCAGGTGGAGGGGGCGACGGGTGTCCGTGAATGGATGATGGGTTCTCATTCTTGGCCGGTGCCTTAGCTGTCGGGTTTTGAAGCCTATACCCTCCCGTTGCGATGAGAATGTCGCCAGTTCTCCAGGCCTTGCTGACGGACAGCGGGAAGCCACTCTTGTGAAGGCTGCCATGCAAGGCGTTGAGCGCGTCCATGGCATCATCGGCATGCTTCATGATGACCCACCGGAAGGTGTGTTTCGAGGTCGTCGAGATCAAGGTAGGCGACTTGATGACGCGACCGAACGGCACGAATATGTCTCGGAACTCGGTGGTAGATAGTTCAAAGGGGACACCGCGGACATAGAGCGCGAAACCGGCAGCCTCCTCACCGATGTACTTGCGAGGCAGGCCGGGGATATGGTGGATGAAATCAAGCCCCGCCTCGGTGATCCAGATATCGTCGCCACTGGGCTCCTTCAGATCCGTGATATCGTTCCAGGTTATCATAGGGGGTGCGAGCGTAACGTACACCTCATAGGTGCGAGCCATCTCGGGCGATTGGGGTCGCCGGCCATTTCCTCGGGGATCTCCACCTTCTTTGTTGGGCGCGACAGCGCGAGGTCCGCGGTATGGTTGCATTGTGTTCGGTCGTTGTCGATTGGCAGAGGAGACTGTGAGATCAGTGTTAGCAAGGCGCTGCGCGTATATCCAAGTGGTGGTGTCCTTGCCTTTGTGGTGTCGACGCGTCTGTTGTTGAGGGTTTGTTGTCGTGGAGATCGATCTGATCAGGTGAATATATTGTCTCCAAGCGAAGATATCAGGCTAGTGGGGATACTTCGGCCCTGCGTCTTGATATCCATCCATTCACCTTTGAAGACAGGATGGTTCGCTAAGATCAAACTTGATTCGGCTTATGATATTTTTCCTTGCTTCTGTGGCGCTCCTTGAGTGTTAAATAGCAAAAAGCAGTCTGGGCTAGTCTACTTGTGTGGTCCGTCGTCGCATTCTAACTCTTCCAGATATCTATACCGGTCTACGTCCTGAGTCCATTCTGAGGTCCAGATCCGAATCCATACCAGAGGTCCATGTTATCGCGATACTTTGGGCTAGAGTAACAAGAGCTCTTAATAGTATGCTGCTCCATTCTCTCTGGGTAACATGGCATAGATATGCATGCGCAAAGTGTTCCGTGCCTATTCTCTAATGGCCCTGGCTTCCTGGGAAATCCATCTTTCACGCGGATCGTATGTAAAGCACCTAGCTGATAATTGACCAGATCACTTCTACTTGAGCATTCAGCGCGTGAGGCCCTTGTTTATACGACAAGTGTGTAGTGAACTGTCATACTAGAGGCCCGCTTCAGCCTGTCCAAACTCTTTTCCAGGCCGAAGCCAACGGCGACAAGTGTAAGAAATACCACAACTGCGCCGCGCCGAGCTGGCGCGATTCCCAAAGCCATGATGTCCTGAAAGTGCCCTTTCGCTGAGTTGTATCCCCGGTGATACCTCGATCTCCCTTCCGTACCGTAATGCAACTGGGACATGCACGCCCACACGCACGCTCTATCAAAATTGACACGCCAAATTCATCTACCCCCCTGGGACGAATCCTTCCGGAATAACTGCTATCCTCGCAAAAGATCTATCGCCGTCTCAGCACCAGACAAACCGCTCGCTACATACCCGTCTCCCAATCCAATTACGGGAAGAAAGAAAAGAAAAAGGCTCGCTACCAGACAGGAGGATACTTTGCCACATGGACTCCCGATAGTCTATATGGGGATATGTGATTTGTTGGCTGAGCGGCTTTATTGGAAAAGGAAGGATACTACTAGATTGTTTTGTAGAGTGGTGTAGAAGTAGGGAAAGAAGTTGAAAGATATAAAAACATGTCCACGCCATTGGATGGAACCGATCGGCCGGGCTCGCTTGGATGAAAGTAAACAAAACACCCAATTAACGATTAACCTCCATAATTCGGGGCAACGCTCATGGACCCAGGTAAGATTCGTGCGAAAGAAAATAAGTTATATGAGAAAGGAATGATAGGTACAAATCTCACATTACATGTACGCCCTCAGCGCATCCATGCGCTGCTAAGCACATTCATTATAAACCAACAAACTTACAAAACCATCGCCTGCCAAGCCACCGGTTCCTTGCCCACCCAGCCAAACGCCATATAAGATCAGACCCCTCGGCCATCCCCAAACTAACCTAAGCCAGTCGCCCAAACCCCCTCCTAACCCTCCTCCACAGCTCACCAGCCATCGCATCCCGGCCCTCTCGCGTTCTCTGCACCGCATCCTTATTCTCCTGCGCGCGCCGATACAGGTACTTCATGCACTCGCCCGTGCTGCCCCAGACCAGGTACTTGTAGGCTCTCGGGACATCCACCTCGGCAGCCGCATCCGCTCTCTGCCTTTCGCGGGCTTCGCGGCTGGCGAGCACGAGCTCGCAGCTGACTTCGTCGGCCATGCCTTGCAGCTGCGCGTAAACGATGTCGATCTGATTCGGCGACACGCCGAGCTTCTTCTGCTGAGTGCACAGCGCTTGCACCTTGCGCACGGATGTAATGTTGTGACCTGCTAGGACGACGGCGACGGCGGGGAATTTCTGATCGGCTTCGCTGGGTGCAGGTTGGAGGGTGGTATTGTATGTGCGTCGGACCAGGCTTTCTGAGATGCCATCGTACGCCGCATCCGTATCCGCCTTTGTATCGTGAATCAAATGCCTCGGATCCGATCCCAGATAAGCACCTCTCACCAGCTTCACCCCCAACGTGAAGCCTCCCTTCCGGGCAGCAGCGAGGTGGCTCGCTAAAACTGCTGGAGCACCCTTTAAGTAGGCTTGGTAGGTACCATAGATGACAGCCCCGTTTGCGCCCTGGTTATACTTCTCCATGTATTTCAGCGTCCACGCATCGATACCCGGCTGTAATGCAGCTTGCTCAGCATCAAACAGCAGCTTGACCCCCCTCTCCCTCGCCAAGTCGCACACGGAATCAATGGCCTCTTTGAGCGCCGGTGACGGCTCCGCTTGCTCCGACAAATCGTGTAGAGCTTGGGCGCCCGCCCCCGTAAACTTCAGCGCCACGAAATCCCCCGGGCGCGTCATGCGAACTGTTTCCAGCGTGCCATTTGCCCAGGGTATGATTTCGTCGCGGATGCATGCTTCCGCGGCTGCAGGGGAGAGACATGCGGTTTGGGATTTGTCGAGCACAACTTCTTTCGCGTAGGCGAGGATGACGCCGGAGAAACCGAGGGAGCGCAGGCTGTCGACTGTGGCTTTTACTTCAGAGGCGGTCTCACCGGCGCAAAATTGGGCGTAGAAGGTCTTCTTGAGGAAGAGGCGAAGGAGGGGGTTGGTGTCGGGAGAGAGGAGGGGGGAGTGGGAGTGTGCGAGCTTGTCCATGATGAGGAGTGAGGGCCGGAGAAGAAGCTGGGGGGTATTAGAATGGGTCAATGGTGACGAGGGAAGGAGGGAACTTACTGGAGAAGAAGATATTGACATGGTTGCTAGTGATCTGAGAATAGAGCTGAGAGGAAGAATGGATAGCGGGGTTGGCCTCGGCATCTTGGGCGTGGCAACCACCTGGTCTCTTGTGTTTGTGTCTGCGGCTGTTGAGAACCTATTGGTGTCGTCGTAGTTTGAAGGAATTGCCGATCGACGTGCGAGAGTCTGGGAAGAGATGTGTCTGCGCGATACACGCATGGCGTTGCCACTAAGCTTGGTTTTTGTTACTGTCCTTGACATTGTCATGGGAGGTTACAGGAAAGAGAGATGAGGTGAATATATGTGAATGGATGTGAAGGGTTGTGATGTGAGGTGAGGTGAGTTGAGTTGAGGTTATTGAGAAAGTGACTTGAAGAGCAACAAACCGGAGAAGTATGTGTTACTTTAGAGTCTCTGGTATCCTGTGTTGATATAAAGTGATCGGACGATCGAGGAGGGGTCATTCATAAAGCGACTCCTTATCTAACGTCTATCGTCTAAGCCGTGGTTAAGCGACTAGCACGAGCAATTGAGGCAAATGATTGGACTGGGGCGTTCCGGGAATCGGAGCCTCGGAAGCCGGCGCGGCTTAAGGGAAACTTACTTGATATATCACGTGCCCGTCCCTGTGCCCGTGGCCGTAACGGCCTCCTGACTCTTAGTCTTCGTCTTCCTTGTCCATTGTCCCAGTCCCAGAACCGATGCGTATCCTGGATATCTCCCCCGCGCGGCTCCCATGGCATCTTGTGCCAGCCCGTATACCACCCCGATGGCCAATCCCGTCTTTGCCGTTCTCGCCGCCGTCGTGACAGGGAAGCGGTCTGTGGCAGGCAGTGAGCTAAGCTGGCTATGTTGAAGGGAAGGGAAGGGGAAGGAGAAGGGAAAAGAGCAAAGGGAAAAGAGCAAAGGGGAAAGAGCAAAGGGAAGAGAGCAAAGGGAAGAGAGCAAAGGGAAGAGAGCAAAGGGAAGAGAGCAAAGGGAAAAGAGCAAAGCGAAAAGAGCGAAGGGAAAAGAACAGAGGGAAGCAGGAACATATTTGTACTTACTCCATAACGAAAAACCACCTGCAACCGACAGACTGGCCACCACCGTATTGAAAAAGTCCTTGGTCCCGCGGTACCGATCCAGCATATCCTCAATCGTAAAGAAGCCCGCCGTCCAGATGCTGACTTTCCCTCCCATCCAAAATCCCTCCTTGACCCCGGCCAGAGCCATGTTGTAGTTCTTACTCTTGTGGTAGAGGTACCACCCGGTCGGCGTCGTCGGCAAGCGATGTGCATTCTCAGCGCGGAACCGGTAGCCTGCCATCTGGCTGCCATGCGATATGCCCAACACCAGCCCTGCGGCGAAGGATATCGACGTCGCCAGAGTGAGTCGTATGCCGAAGGGGAACGACATGCGGGAGTCCGTCTTGAGTCTTCCCATTGCCTCCGTATGCCATTCTGCCCGCCTCTTCTTTTCCTCCTCCTCACTGTCGGTTGCCATGATGAGTTGGTTGGTTGGTTGGTTGCTGAACGTCGCGGTTACGCGAGGCTGAGAGGATTCGTTACCCAGCCTTACAATGATCTCACAGTACGCAGCCGAGCACATGATATCGTGGGGTTTTCGCGAAGGCCGTCCTCAGAATTTTCAATTTCACGACCCTATTGATTCGATCCTGACGAACGCCCTGCAAGATGGTGGGTGAATGTCCACGGCTCTGGTGAACTGTAATGCTAACACACCGCAGGCCTCCTCGAGCGAAGTCAAATCCACCGCCCTCACCCTCCGCTTCAAATACGGCCGACAAACGGTCTTCCTCTTCACCGAACCCCTCACGCCCTTCCCAGACATCCTCAAAGAACTTCTTTCCACCCTTCGCGAACGCTACCCGAAAGGCATGCCGACCGGAGACCCCGAGGAGTTCACACCGATCCCTGACTCGGGCATCGATGTCGTGCTGGGCGTTCCCAAGGACCTCTACGATTTGAGCAAAGGGTGGGATGGATTGAAAATTCTGGGTCCGGGGCTGGAGGAGACGCCAAAAAGTTTGGGTCTGAAGGAGAGCACGCCGATTGCGTTTGCGTTTACGGAGTCGGAGGCGTGGCAGAAGAACAAGACGTTCCATGTTGAATTTAGTAACGTGGAGGAGCTGTATCCGGACGAAGAACAAACATGAAGACTGGGAGCGGCATCCGGAGGTGTGGCGTTTGGGGGTAGGCGTATGGATGACTAGCTGGACATGGGCATTTGGATGGGGGGCGGATCTTTGTTGGCAAAACCTCTGAAATTACGAAGAGGAGACTACGAACGTTGAAAAAGACCACGGAGATCAACAGTTCTTACCTTATACAATGAATCGATAAACTGGGCTATAACTCGATTCCAAGAAGCTTCTTGCAATCTCCCTCCCCTCAGACCTAATCCTTTCAGTCCTCTTCATATACGAAAAGACCAACAGACAAGCAAGGGTTACTTACCAAAAGCATCACCCATGAGGAAGAGCCCCGAAAAATGCAAGCTCCAAAACTCCATACGATCTTCTCCCCAATTGCGAAGCTCTTCAACTCGACCGCTAGGGAGATCACAAGTATCCAATCAAGCTATTGATGTTGGCAATCTTTCTCTCCTTTTTTTTTCCAAATTCCTGCCCCCATCCGCTCTGTCAATTATCAATCCCACAACTCTCTACACCAAGGTAAGCTATTGAAACCACACTTACATCTTCATACACACCCCCAGCCACATGTATCAGGCGTCCCCATATTCGACGCCCCCGTGTCGAATCCAGGGCAACCTCGGCTCCCCAGATTCTTGGCAAGATCTCGGCAGGGCTTGACAACCGACTCCTCCCCGCAACGTCAACCCATCCAACTAGTTGTAAGTCATCAACCAGCAAAACATGGCCACCTTGCGCCCCGACCGGATCGCAGCTCAATGCATCTCTCTCGAATACCATGTCCGTCTCTACGACCAGCCTATCCCATAAGCCTGACCCAAATTCCAAGACCTGAACATCTCCGCGCAATCGCAACATCCCAGACCCCTCGCTCTCATCTCCATTCTAGGGCATTGATCGCAAAGGCAATATACGCACCCAGGAGAGCGGTCATGGCGGTCCCCAAAACAGAGCTGGGGAAACAATACATGTCATCTTCTGCCAAACCCGTCAAGAAGATCTCGGAGCCAAGGCCTAGCGCAAGGTATACCTCCCTACTGTCGCGCCTCTCTCTTCAACCCACGCACCAATGCTAACACAATTTACTGCATCAAGTATCCTTCTCATCTCTCCCCGCAATGAGATCCTCCTCCTGCACCGTGTCCGCACATCGTCCTCCTTCCCCTCTGCGCACGTCTTTCCCGGCGGGAACCTCTCTGCCTCGCAAGACGGCGCGATCCCCGGCCCGGAGGACGAAGCGAGACATGTGGACGGACGGGCGTACCGAGTCGGTGCTATAAGAGAGTGTTTCGAAGAGAGCGGGATCTTACTTGCGCGGAAGAAGAACGGGGAGGGCTTGTTGGAGATTGAGGACAGTGTGAGGGAGCAGGGGAGGAAGGATGTCCATGCTGGGAGGGTGAGGTTTGAGGAGTGGGTTGAGGGACTAGGTGGGGTTGTTGATGTTGGTCCGTTCGCCCCTTTTAAACATTCCTAAGCGAGGACGACTCGCTTGTGTGTTTACTAACTCTCCCGGGTCATCTGCGCCTAGTTCTTTGTACCCTTGACCGTCGGAATTATCGTGTCTTCAAGAAGTAATCGGGCTAACCCTCGATCAGATGCACTGCTCCCTTTCACCCGCTGGGTAACACCAACCAACATCCCCAAGAGATTCACAACGCAGATGTACCTCTACTTCCTCCCGCTCACCCAACCAATATCCTCTCTCACCCCTTCGTCCGAAATCCCCACGCCGACCTCAGACGGTGGCGTAGAGCACACAGCCGCGCTCTTCGCGCCCTGTTCAACATGGCTCTCCCTCGCACGCGCCAACGAAATCATCCTCTTCCCGCCCCAATTCTACCTCATGCACCTCCTCTCCCCCTTCCTCTCCCCCTTCCTCTCCCCATCGCTCGAACTCTCCTCCCAAATCCTGCAAAGCCAAAGAGACCAAGTCCTCCACTTCCTGCAAGGCGACGGCGGCGACGGGAAGGGCATCCTCTGGGCCGACAAGGTGATGAGTCCCACCGGCTTCCTGATGCGGAAGAGTGACGGTAGGAGCGTGCTGGCGCTTAATAGGCCCGGGCCGGAGTTGGAGGCGAGGGGGGAGGGGAGGGGCGGCGACGAGAAGAGGGTTGTGCTTGTGAAATTTGGGAAGGAGGGGCCGAGGGATGTGGATGTTAGGGAGAAGAGGGAGGTTCTGGCTGAGGAGAGGGTGGAGGCGGGGGCGAAGTTGTAATGGGAATGGAGGGGGGGAGGTGTGCGCTGGGATGCCAGATTTGGGAAGAAGAGACGAATCCGTATCTATGTTTGTGAGACAGCTGCTTCGCGCTAGTTAGTAAGTAGGTGTTTCTTGAAGGCAATTCTCACTTGACGACTTGAGGCCAAAAATCTTGGCCAATGGTGGGTCCCTCTACGGACGGAAGGTTAAGCGAGTTTAGCGGACATTCTCTGAGAGTTTAACTAGGACAGATCAGTTCAAGAGAAGATTTGTTGCAATAAGAGAGTTTGTGGGGTCTTAGTTTGATTCAGTGAGTTTGTTCGGCATTTCTATCAAACATTTCTTTCAAAGATACGAAAGCTAAAAGTTTCAGATGCATAATTACATGCATATCTGCGAATTCGTCATCGACCATCAATAACTCTATAACAACTTTACCCATCTGAACTTTAACTCCAACTTTTCAGCCAACTACTTCAAGCAGCTGCATCACTTGATCGAGCTTCAATTGCCCCACTAGAAATCAAAACAGTCAGCCAGCGTCACGAGCGAGAAACATGGGCAAGGGCCGCCGTCCATCCATCACTTACACTCCAGCATTTGTTCTCAAGAATCGGAAGGTCGAGCTCATAAAGCGACACCGAATATAGATCAGCCACATACGCCGAGATGTCCACTACAAAGTCGCTTGAGAGAGACAAGCCCAAGCTGTTGCGACACGCCGTGCTATTTCCCCACACCGGAACCGTGACGTTGCTACCACCAGCACCACCCGCCTGCAGCGCGAGCGTGACGTTGAACACGTTCACTATCTGAGACTTGACCATCAACCCCGCGTCGAGCTCAACGAGCCCGCTGAGGAAGCTGGCGCCGAAGCCCGCCGTCAGGGCCAGGTAAGGGCTCACCTCAGCCTGGACGGCGCCGGAGATGTCCACGTCGTAGCTGTAGACGGGTGTCCAGCCCTCGGTGTACGATTCTTTGCTGTCGAGGAGATCGAGATGCACCAATCCGCCCTCGAGACTGGCACCCAGCTCGGCGGACATGGCGACGCTGCCCGCGGCCGAGGCGTCGACGCCGAGCCCGAAGCCGATCTTCGGGCCCATGCTCAAGATGCCAGCGATCTCGAAGGCCGAGACGGACACATCGGCGGCCTGGAAGTCCCACTCCGAGGCGACGCGCGGGATGGTGGCGTTGGCGTCGATGGTGGTCCCGCCCTCGGCGTAGACCTCGAGCTCCAGGTAGAAGGTGGTGAACTTGAACCTCCAGAAGTCGTAGGAGACGCGGCCGCTGAGGTTGAAGGAGCCCGAGAGCCTGGTGTCCGAGGCGGTGATGAGGACTCCGGGGTCGTTGACGAGCGTGATCTCGGACGGGAAGTCGCTGCTGAATGACGCCGCGATGTCTCGTTTGGATACTGCTGCTTCTGCTTCTGCGCCGGCCAATGTGGCGGGAGTCAAAAAGGAGATATCCATAGTCTCCGTGCAGGACTCGAAAGATGTGGGCGTGGTCGATGCGATGATCGTGTTGGTTGAGCTATTGAATGTGAGGCCACTGACGTAGTAGAGCCCGCGTTCGTAGGGTGCGTCGCAATTGCCGAGGTTGTTGGTGAAGATGACGAAAGAGGAGGATGGCCAGGTAGAAACACTCTTCTTGTAGGTGTTTCTGCTGTTGAATGTGATCGCTACAGTCCAGTGTGTGCATGCTACTCGGCTGATGTCGGGAATATCTTCGAGAAGGACAGAGGGGTGTTTCATGCCGAGAGAGACTTCTGCGGCGGCAGTGCTGGTGTTGGATTCGTAGTAAAGAGTAAAGTTCTTTTTGGGGGTGATGTCTGTGTACTCGGTCATATTGACAGGCGAGTCGAAACTGTAGTCTGGGGAAAACGGGCAGTCGTATCTCGACACGGGATCTAAGACGGTGATGCCCGTGTTGGCTGTAGCGAGAGTAAGGAGCGTTGCAGCTGCAGCTGCTGCGAAGCTGGAGGAAAAAACCATGGCGAAACTACGAGAGTACAGTCGGCCAAAAGATCCAACGACAACAATTGACAAGACGAGGAATGAACCACGAGGAAAACGAGAGTCGAGAGGGATGAGGAGATAGTCCCGAGACAAGTGAAGTTCTCTTTATAAGGACGACATCCGTGAGGTGAGTGAACTCATGACCAGGGGTCGGGACAACTATCGGTGCCACCTCCACCTCGACATCGTCCCCGGAACGAGAGAGTTTTCGCAAGAGAGTTGCAGGTTGTTTGCGGGTGGATCAAAGAAGTAAGACTAATGCCAAGGATGATCCACAATGCCGACTATAAATTCAAAACCTTATGATTTGCGCTCGCGTAAGACAGCATTATTGAAATCTTGACCTGTGTTGGTAAAAGTATCGTTCGGATATAATTATCGACCTGAATCGCTGCCGTGTATTACGCCATACTGTAATACTACGGTCCCAGGCGTAAATACTACCGGTACTCCTCGAGGGTAGAGTAACCAGGGGTTTTAAAGTGGAAACTAAACTTTTGAGGCACCCTCGAGGGGTAATACCTACTTAGGCCTGTACCGTGGTAGCTTGTCATTACTGTAACTCTTGTACCGGTATACCTACTAATACTGCGTCACCGTAAATCTTAACACCGGTACTTTCGAGGGTATGATAGGTATATGATGAGAGAACGAGCCGGAAGGAAAGGCGAGATAATATCGATTTACTAACACAAAACTCTATTGATTATCGTCATCCACTCGACACACAGCCTTTACTAACTAAGGCGACGCATTCATACCTTTGTCAATTGTCGTCGAAAGCCAAGATCTTCTATATATTTTACTACGTACTTACAGCAATTGGTAAAGCAAACTAAGCCACTTTCAGAAGGAGCAAGATCGAGTTGCTCTTTTGGATCTAGCTTAGACCTGTAAAGAAATTGGTTGGCGCACCGGAGCACACTCTACCAAAAGACCGAAAACCTAAGAAATCAATCTGCGAATTCGTCCACACTGCTTTTGCAAGAGCTTTTGGATATGCCTTCCGCTCCAAAAGCAAATGGAAAAGCCGTTCAATTTGACGAGAAAAATTCCTCGGTGGTCCGTGGAGAGGTGCTCGTGCTGGAGCTCATCCTGACAACAAGGAGTGCAAGCATTCAGATAAGCTCCTCCCAAGGTCGGGAATTCCCTTGTCAGCCCTGCAGCAGAAGAGAGTCAAGAGACCCCTCAACGCGGAATAAAGTGCGCTTATCATAAACAAGAATGCAAACATCGTGGTGATGGTGGAACGATGCGCCATTCCCCTTTTTCAAATCTCGACAGGCGAAATTCCGGCCCGATTGCCGAAGCACTTGCGCCCAAGACCCCTGAGGCTTATCCAGCCGCCGGAATACTGGGGCCAACACGTACGATATTCGGGCACTCCGACTGCAATTTTTTTGTCCCCAGCATACTCTACTCGATTGACATAATCAAGTCTTTTGGCGCACAAATCCTTCCCGTACTCGGAAGCTTGTATCGTAAACAAAAACGCGCTTTCCAAAGTTCACCAATATGGTTTAAGCGAGCCCCTATTGCAACTTGCGAGCGGCAATTTCACATCATCTTTGAGTTCCAAGGTCCAGAACACTTGCAGATTCATTGGGCAACAAAACGTTCGCCAAAGAAGAAGGTCATTCCTCCACTCCAGATCTTGGATAGTTTCTACATATTGCTCACATAATCTGCTTAATTTTGTAGCGGCATCAAGCAGTTTTTGGGACGGAGTTGTCCTATGATTGAGGCAGGCAGGCAAGCAAAGTGGAGAAGGTGACTTGGACCTTCACATAACCAGAGCCAACTCTCCACATTCTCCCACTGATGGTGCCCCTATTATCCTTCCTCCCTTCACTCAGGGGCTCAAAATACGGCGGCGAATTACTGCTCAGTAAGACTAGACTTCGGAATATCACAAGGACCGAATGCAGACTTTTACAGATGCTATACACAGCCAGCTGAACATCTTGCCCGAATTCGTTAAATGCGAAAAGAAATCGTCAACGAAAGAGCATAAAAAAACCGAATGCAAAGCCAGCGCACAACTAATAACGCTATTCAAACAGAGCCGAAGCCATTATATAAAAAAAACATATCTATCAATGATCAGTAACGACTCCTCGAACCATTCCTTAAGCTCTCCCTCCACAAGCAGCAAATACTCTTACTCTCACACCACTTCTTGACTTCCTTTGGATCCACTTCCCCATCCCAGCCCACCTTCTCCAAGCCTCCTGTATTCAGCCAAACCGCCAAGTCCTCCAGGATAATGGGGTCGTACAAAAGAATCTTCTCGTGCCAGCTTGGATTCGACGAATCCTTCGACCGTGGGGCAGCAGTAACCGCCGAGGTAATATGCTTGAAGAGAAGCTTTTGGGACGATATTGGGGAAAGCTCGACACTATCGTCGTTAGTTGATGATGTTATCGTCAAGGTGAGAGGTTTGATTTTCATTTGAGCGGGCGTACGGCGAGGCGATGGCGTGGTAGGTGTATCTGAATCAACGATATCTTCGACTTCCTCGGTCCTTTTTTGCGTCCCCTTTGGCGTTCGAATTTGTGATAACGGGGTATCACTGTCCATTTCCAAAAACTCCACAGTAGTCATGGCTTTTTTCCGAGGGGACTTTGCTGCGGCTTTCGCTGTTGATGCAGATGAGCCATCTCTCCTTGGTCTTCCTCGGGCCCGTTTTGGAGATATTTCCTTTTGGCTCGACACTGGCGCATTTACTTTGGCCAGCGACTGCCGCGGGGTAGGTTTGTTGTTTGTGCTTAAGCTAGCCAGAGCGGCTCTGTTCTTCCCTTCCCAGCACCTCTCCAACAGAGTGATCATCGAACTTCGGCTTTTGATTGGTTTGAACCTGTAAGATGCAATGTCTTTTGCCAGTTGCGCCGTCGTGTAGGCGTTAAAATCGGGCATGGTGAGGTCTTTCGTCTTGGCTACGATAGTCTTACGCTTAGGCGAGGCAGTCCTCCGCTTCGGCGAGGGCGGGCTGGCTTTTGGAGACTTGCTAGATGCAGCTGCTTTGGTTAGCTGGGGAGACGGAGGTTCTGATACGCTAGTCGGCGGTGGTGTAGGTAAAGGTCCCGAGTTCTTGGCATCCTCGACGGGTGGAGGGACTGGAGGGACTTGAAAATTTTCGATGGGCTGTGGCTCTTGTGAGATACTCTGGCTCAACACTTCGACATCGTGCCAGAACTCTTCGTCATCATCGTTAGGTATGGAGCTAGGTATGTCAGAGATATCCAAAGCTGGAGCCTTCTTCGTGGCCACGGGAGACGAGTCTGCCAAGTCAACCATCTCAATGTCTTTTAGTTTTCCACTAGCGTCCCGAGAAGCAGCAGACCAGAGATTGCGCTTGGTCGAAATAGAAGCCTTTCCACCACTCGCAATTGTATGTGGTGCGGACTCTAGGAGGCAATCTGCCAAAGGATCATCATGGTCAATCTCGTTAGACGCTAGCATGGCTTCGTGCAAGTCACGAAGGAGGGTTGGAGAATCTTCTCGTGCAAGCTGACTCGATGTACCAAATACAAAGTCTTGGTTGCCGACTTCTTTCAGAGCCGATGCGGGAGATAGCAGAATTGGCGCCTTCGCTAACCCTTTCTTGGCTTTTAACCCCCCTTTGACAGGGGTTTTCGAACGCGGCTTTTGTGGAATCACGAATCCATCAGATGTTATTCGCTCCGTAGTCTGCAGTGGAAAGTACTGCAGCAAAGGAGCCGGAATTTGGGGCAGTTCGTCCACGTCCTCGGCCTCGGCATAAGCGGACGTCGCTTGTTCTGTAATTGTTCTGGCCTTCTTCTTGGGTGCTTTCCCTTTTTGGGGGGACGCAGACGCAGCCACAGCGGTAGCAACGCTCGTTTTGACCAGTTCCATGAGCTTGCGCTTTCGGGTGGCCTGTACAGTCGATGTTTTCTTGCTGTTGGTGGCGTTTTCGGCTTTCATGAAGCTGTAGCTTCCGATTAAATCCGTGAGTCGTCTCGTCCTTTCTCCTGACACAATCGAACTAGCCGACGCCGGGCCATCAGCAAATGGGTCGATGCTCAGCGGTGTTATGGCCTCAGTGTGCGCAGTTGGTGGGGGAGGAGTCCAGGCAGTCCTTCTCCTGACGGCCTCCACAAGTCCGTAGTCTACAGAGTCTTGGAGAGTGTCTTTTTTGGGCACTGCGGTTTTCAAATTTAAAGCCCCATCTCCAGACCCGGTTGCCGGAGGTTTTGTGACCTTTCCCTTGGGGAGTTTCGATTGGGGATTGATATCGGGTTTTTTGGCCCTGGTTTTGCGAGTTGGCTTCGCTGTGGGGGTATCATCCGCCAGAGTCTCCTTGTCGGCCTTCTTAGCTCGTGGCTTCCGTGAAATAGGCTCCTTCACAGCAACCCCTTGCCCGTCGACAGTATCCGCCTTCTTTGCCCTTGGCTTGCGAAGCTTCTTCACCGGCTCGTCACACTCGCCCCCGGCATCCTTCTTTGCGGCAGTCTTTCGAGGTTTTGCCACTTTTGCTTCTCCATTATCCACCTTCTTCGCTGCGACTTTCCGCTTCTTAGGATTCTTGGTTTTCGGGGTCGGATCCGCCGAGATAGCATATTTATCGTGGATATTCGCGACCGCTCGTACATCGTCCAGGTCCTTCGAGGAGGCTTGGTTCAATAGAGCCGAGGCGGTTGTGAACGATGCCGAGGCATTCTGAGGAACCGGCGACTCTCGACCGCGTGCAAACAAAACCGGAGCCTTCTTGTTGATAATATCCTTAATCGAGGGAAGTGGCGGAGACGAAGACATGTCGAACGTTGCCAGATGTCGAGGAGGGGGCGAGGACGAAATGTTGTAGACGTCAGCCATTTTTGGCAAGCTCGGCCTGATGCGCCGGATGCAGATTGATACGAAGGGAATAGACGACAGGATTGTTATAATAATGGATCATATCCGGAGGAAGGAGGTCGTGGAAAGGAATATACGATGAACCCAATGCGTGCCTCCTTTGTTCACAGTCGCGACTCAAACTTGGCCTAAACTCGATTCGAGCACCAGATCATGTGACTGTCGTTTAACTTAGCGCGCCCACAGGAGCCTTCATCTCGAAATTCTTAACACGACGGTAGCATCACCTTAAACCTCAACAGCCTATCCACCTCAAAAACTACCGCCAAAATGGAGAACGACAAGGGAGAACTCGTTGACCTGTGAGTTTCTTCGCCTGCGATGCCATCTTCCAATGCTGATCGCAAACCACAGTTACGTCCCGAGAAAGTGCAGCGCAACAAACCGCATCATCAAGGCCAAGGACCACGCCTCCGTCCAAATTTCCATCGGAAAGGTTGACGAGAACGGGCGTTTCACCGGGGAGAGCCAGGTCTACGCCCTGTGCGGCTTCGTACGAGCAATGGGCGAGAGCGACGACTCCTTGAACCGATTGGCGCAACGCGATGGTCTTCTGAAGAACGTCTGGACCGGAAGCTCCCAACGCTAGACTGTTTATCGAGGCTACATGGTACGGAATACACCCACACAGTTGTGGAATGTGGGTGGCTAATGGGGTAGCAGATTTGCGATTTCGGGATGACTTGGGCTGGCATTGGGAATGATCACAGGGGCGGGAAGGAATGGGCATCGGGCGGTTGCTGAGATAGTCAGTTCCTTGTCTGCTCACAATGCGACATCCTCTCTCAAAATCGACTGCCGCTTTTCGTGAACTCCACGGATTCGAATATTGCAACGGCTCATTTAAACTCCTCGTACCCACTCCCGGGTGACCTTTTTGTTCGAGGAGCAAAACTTGCTATTTCGATAGCACCGAGCCGGAGATTGACAAACTGGCCTTCTGAAGAGCTGTGGCGTTAGAGCATCTCGTCGGAGCACAGATACGGGCCGGACAGCCAAGTCGGAATTCGCAAGATCTTGGAACGGGAGTGGGAACCGTGGCGATTTTGGGCATCTTCACTCAAGTGAGGGGAGACCAACCGCCAAAGCTGATTCTATGATCTCAACTCTCCTTGCAATTTTCTTTCTTTTTCCTAATATCGACTTTGAGCATCCTTGAACGTAAGCTAGCGCTCGACCTCAGGCTTGACTATACGAGACAGAACTGAAGGGCTGGGCGATTCCCGAGGGTACAGATGCTTCAACAACGATGGTTCTCGCACATCCGAGACGGGCGCGGAGAAGTTGCCAGCTAAGACGAATGCCTTGTGCTGTGCGGGAGCCGTGGTGCGATAAGTACCGTCCATTCGTGATTCCTTGATTGAATAACCTTGAGAATTGACAGGAAGCCCTTAAATGGGAAGCTATCCCCTGCTAAACAAATTAGGGCTCTATATTTCCACATCGCAACCTCTCAGTCATTCCATCTGAACAAATGTAATCCGGGAAAAGGGATTGCTCCGGCGGCAAATCCGAAGCGGAGACGACTTTATAGAAGGTCGATATTAGTAGGAGCATTACACACATTGAGAAGGCCGAGAGAAGGAAGCATTGTGACAGGACGTTTTGGCCGAGGAGGATATCAAAATCAATAGATGGCCTACACATGAAGCCTGTGAGCTGTGCCGCTTCCTGGCATACGGATTGGCTTGACACTCGCCAAATACCTACCTGTTCTCCGATTCTCCAGCTTGAGGATATGCCCGGCTATGACATGAAGCCAGCTTTGTTCCATGAGTACCAGTGGAGTCTGTAGGTAGTTCTAGTCAATGACCAGGCTGCGACTTAAAAGCTATGCAAGAAGTTCGTGATCCAGAAAATTATTGAACTCAGAAGGACTTGAATCGCGTTATAGATGCAATTAAAACCAGCTCTTTCGATCAGAATGGGCCTTTGTATTGTATACGTAACAAGTCTTTGAGTTTAGTAATCACGAAGAGAAGATGTTGTGCCTGGAGAAAGTCCGGCAAATATTCGGTGAAACCTTAACTCTCCATGAACCTCTTCACCTCCTTCGTCTTCACCACCACTGGTACTTTCTTTTTTCTTCGACAACCCTCCCTCTTTCCACAAACAAACCCGCCACCATGGCAGACACAGAAATGGACGTCGATCAGCCTCTCTCCCCAGAGCAAAAACAAGACACCAAGAATTCTGCAATGACAACCCGCTCCGATGCGACAGCCGTCCGCTCCATCGAAGGCTGGATCATCCTCATCACTAACGTTCACGAAGAGTCTAGCGAGGAAGACTTGAACGAACTGTTCGCAGACTTTGGAGAGATCAAGAACCTCCACCTGAACTTGGATCGCAGAACAGGTTACGTGAAGGTAAGATTTCGGCGCAAGGCTGGGACTCTGTAGACGGGCTGACAGTTACACGCCAGGGGTATGCGCTGATCGAGTACGCAACCTTGGATGAGGCACGCAAGGCGATTGATGCTTTGCACAATACCAAACTGTTGGATCAGACAATCGAGGTTGATTTCGCGTTCGTTCGTCCGCCCCCAGGCAAGAACTCCAGACGACCTGCGAAGGGAGGAAGAGCGAGAAGTCGGAGTCGCAGCCCAGCTCATCGGGAGGACCTGGATGACTGACGGGATGGATGGCGAATAAAACTGCGAGCAGTAAAGCTGCGGCGTGTGTGTGGCCGATGTGTCCAATGGAGAGGCATGTCGGCGCGTGAGGGATGGCCTTAAAGGTACGTGGGATGAAGATGTAGTGGCAGGAGATTCTTGCTAAAAAAAATCCAGTGCCTCAAATGAAACGATTCCTAATCTTACGAGACTGTCTACCTATCGAGCAGTGATTCAGCGACAGCGAGGACATACAGTCTTCGTTTTCAGAGAGACACCTTCAAACATACACCATCCGCCGCTGAAGGGTGAGATAATAGCACCTGTGCAAAGGCTGGATAACAAGCGCCAACGGGTATTGAGTACAATAGAATCTGTTCAGAAAGTTCATGATATGCCAGAAGACTGACAGATGAGCTTTAGTGTGTAAAATCCTAAAGTTTTAAGGAGGAAACCAAAACTTTGATCCGTATCCGATACAGATACCGCTGCCAGCCGCCTCCCATCGCTCACCATCTCTCGTCGTCAACCAACAAAGACCGGGAGATTTCAGCATGCTCATGCCTGATTCCTAATATGCCTCTCTCTTCGACTTGGTATCCTGCCTCCAATGCATTCTTGACGGACGAGTTGACCAATTCTCCGCATGAGTAACACAGCACCTCATCCAAAAACAGCTGAGCATCAAAGGCCGAGCACAATTTCCTAAAGGACTCGAAAGTCGCCGTTGAAACCTTTTGAACAATTGCGCTTTTTCTAGATTGACATGGCCTCCATACTGGTATTCTTCAATCGGTTTTCCTATGTTCATAACGATGCGCCGCCCTTTGCCGTGCAGAGAACCGCCGTCCCGAGATGCATCTTTCACAGCCCTCAAAGCTTCTGGTATGAGCCTCACATATGCCATTTCTGAGAGATCGGCCTGATTCCCTGTTGATTGAACAGTCCTGTCAACTTCTCGCATCCTAAGCTATCCTTGAGGTGGACCGTCAGGTTCTTGAGATGCACCATTTTGCCGACTGCCTCGAATTCCCGTTGGATACCCTGGATGGAAATCCAATCTCCGTCGGGCTCCAGGTAAATAGTGTGTACGTAATCGGCAATTTGGTAACAATAGGGACGAGGTTTAAAGCCTGACAGCTGGACCATCTTCTCCTCGAAGAGGAGATATTTGTACTTGTAGGTGGCCTTGCATGTGCGCAGAAATGCCAGGGACAAATCGGCAAGCCTCTTCATCTCGATGCTGTAGAGCTTTTGGATAGGCGCTCTAGATCAACCACTTTCTTAGCGACTCTAGCTATTGCGGTAAGTTCAGGTATTAGACTGGGGTTGGTTGAGCTTTCTCATCTCTTCTTCCACGGGCTTTACTGAAGGCTGCCAGATCTTGATCCTATGACTTTGAGAATGGTCGAGTAAAGCAAATATAGCATAACAGGCTTCAGTAGTGAAATCATACTCATGTCCCTGAATTGCCCAGCTGTATGTAGCCAGTGTTCTCGTATATTTGCAATCATATATAGAGCTACCTACTGCATTCGTGGTTAACTAGTAGGGTAATAGTAGGGTCAAAGCCCCAAGTCCGGCTTAGTGAGGGGCAGTCCGAACTCGGCCCGCACAAGCTTGAATCATTTTTTATCGGGAATCTATAACCACCTCTCTGGAAATTTTTCATCAGATCGGAAAAGGTGACTTGGCCGGTACGTGATATTCCAGTGTGCTTTCTTTCATGCATCTAACACAATCCAGAGTGGTTATGGCGCTAGTTTCAGGACAAGAAGAATTACTTCCCGTTCATACTAGTTCGAAAGAGCGTGGGTTCGAGGTAAGATAAAGCACCAGTACATGACCGCTATCAGAGTCTGATGATTGCCTAGTCCCACAGTCATCAAAGTTATGTTTTTCGCGATTTTTGATTTTAGATTGTAGTTTTTAGGGGGGGAAGGGTTTTGGCCCCGTATACATCAGATGCCGTCTTGTCGGTAGTGCTTGATGAGTCAGCTTCGCCTCGCTAAGGTCCAGGGCCAAAGTAGAAAAACCAGAAAAATCCGATGTGGGATCGACATACTACCGGTAGTACTAGTATATAGTATATAATAGCATTTATAGTTAAGCTTGTTTAAGCCGTCCGCGCATTGCGGCTAAAGAGTGGGTGTCACATCAAAACAATCGTTCCGGCACGCATGCGCACGGTAGAGGTTGGTTGCTCTCTATGCTTAGACTTATGTTCACGGCCGTTCCAACTCGGACGTACATTTTGCTTTGTTTTTTTGACTGAATCGTGAATCCTCCTTTTGCCGAGACCAAGAGATGGACTGAGCACGATCACCGCCTCACGAGGTTTAACCCTGCGCTCAAGCCTCCTGAACCAACTACAAAGGACTACTCTTGCTCTGCACGACCTCAACCTCAACCTCAACTCCCACTCAATTGCAGTCAACAACCACAACCATGTCATGACCATGACCGCGTGGACTATCCCCACTCTTGCTATCAACTGATCGATGCAAGTATAGATAGATGTCTTCATACTTTCTTTCCTCCTTGACCGTTGCCCAGCGTGCCTCGCATTTCCTGGCCTCCCCTCCGCCGCCCTCACCATGCTTCCCACGATTCGACGACTCCAGGTTCCAGTAATTTTCGTATGGATACTCTACGGTGTAGCCCTTGTGCGAGGGTCAGTTCTGAGCGCTCCCGAGTCTCAGAAGCCTCTTGGGCATATCGAGAAGCCTCTCGATGAAGCCAAACAACCTCAGACGATCGCGGCACTACTTAACGCGCTGGACGTGTTGGAGCACAAATACTATGCGATATGGGAGGGCATTTGGCCAACATCGATTGACTGGACATCTGCGGTGATAGGGACATATCTATCCGCCTCTCTACACACCATCTCAACATCCTTCCCCTCGTTCCCCTCATTCAAAACCGCCGACAACATCCTGAACAGATACTTTTCGCAGCTCTCCGCCTCGTACTTTGGCCAAGATTCTTTCGCCTTGCGGCAGGAAGCGTACGATGATATGTTGTGGGTAGTGCTGGGATGGTTGGAAAGCATCAAGTTCGTCAAGAGTCATTCTGCGGCCCACTACAGCGAGAACGAGATGCCCTGGTATGGCGAGCAATGGATATCTTCTTTTGCACACCGGGCGCGGATCTTCTGGGACTTGGCCTCCCAAGGATGGGATGTCTCCCTCTGCAACGGTGGCATGATCTGGTCGCCATATCTGGTTCCGTATAAGAACGCCATCACGAACGAGCTCTGGATCACGGCTTCAATCTCCATGTATCTATATTTTCCCGGCGACGAGAATAACTCGCCATTTGGACTGGCCACCCCGACTGCAGATAGCCCTGGAATTGCACACGACCCGAAGTATCTTGCGGCGGCCATCGAGGCATATAAGTGGTTGATTGAAAGCAACATGACTGACAAGCAAGGCTTATACGTTGATGGGTATCACATCTCTGGGTGGTCAGGCAGTGATTTAATGAACGATTCTAAATCTAACACTAAATGCGATTCTCGTAATGAGATGGTGTATACGTATAATCAGGGCGTACTGTTATCGGGCCAACGTGGACTCTATGAGGCAACTGGTGCTCGATCGTATCTCGAGGAGGGCCACAAGCTCGTTCAAGATGTCATTGCTGCTACAGGATGGAGCTTGACGCGCAACGGTGTCCTCGCCGACGATGTAACACCTGGTCGCAAGCTGGGGAACTGGCATGGACTTGGTCGCTCTGGCATCTTAGAAGAAGCGTGCGATGCAGAGGCATACTGCTCTCAAGATAGTCAGACGTTCAAAGGCATCTTCTTCCACCATTTGACGCTGTTCTGCGCCCCGCTGCCGGAGCATCTGGTCCTCCCCAGCGAGTTGTTTCTCAGCAAAGATGCCAGAAACGAGCTGCCTGGGAATCCACGCGAGGTGAAAAGGTGGCATGACCAGAGCTGTGCGCAGTATGGCCGCTGGATCAAACACAACGCTCAAGCAGCGCTCTCGACGATTGACGCAGAAGGTAAATTCGGCATGTGGTGGGGTGCCCCTCCACACACTGAGCACGACCCCGTTGCTGAAGTCGAGCTGCCTCATGATGCTATAGATTATCGAAATATGGGCATCCCTCAGCAGTGGAATAACAAGGGAAGTGAGGATAGGCGAGACACCCCCCCAAAGAACCGGGACTCTCAGCCTCCTCATCAGGATGGTAAGATTAAAGCCACGGATCTGAATGATAGAGGGAGAGGGAGGACCGTAGAGACTCAAGGCGGCGGCATCATGGTCTTGAGAGCCCTGTGGGAGCTGGTAGATTCCAGATGAGTGGTGGACAATGAACTTGTACCAGTGAGCCGCGGCTGCGGCTGAGTGTACGTATAGCTCTAATTTTCAACGATGAAAAATTAAATGAATGAACGAATGCATCGAATGAGGTAGTTGGCATTGTCTGTATATGTGTAGGTATTACTAGGCTCATGGATATGAGAACGGGCGGTAGTGGGTGCATGTGCATCGGCTTTCTAATGTACGCAAGGCGTTCTTATGTACCTTTTCAGATTGTGTGGATCCGGAGATAGATGCCGAAGTAATTCAAAGTCCTGGCTCCTATATATATATATATA